AAAGGCTTTTTCGGTGTGCAGTCGATCCCTGCTGCTCCCTGGAGTGTGTGGAGCTTCATCCAGGGCTGGCACAAGGGTAGGAGCTATAGGGTTTTTCCCCTGCACAGCAGCAGTGCCTATGCCAGGGAGCTGCTTTTGTGGTGAGGAAGATGGATTTGTACCCTGGGGTGGTTAAATATATGCAACTAAATGAGCTGGCAGTGGAGAGGACAAGGTGAGGAAGCTTTGGTTTCTACTTGGGGAACCCCATATTCAAATCCCTGAGGAGAGATGGCTCCTTCCCCTACAGGGCAAAGCAGATAAACAAAGCAAAAAAAGGTGTTATTTCCATTTTACAGGCTGCAGGAGTGTACTCACCTTCTCTTACTCAACCTGTGGCAGAACCCCACTCTCGAACAGCTTTCCTGACCTTTCTGCTGCCATCTTTTTCATAGGACTCACCTCCTGCCTTTTGGCAGGAGAACTTTGTACAAAGCATGGGCTGGGAGAGCTCTGCTTCCCTTTGCCAGTAGAAAAAAACAACCAGCTTATGCATCTTAGCAAATTCCTGTTATACAGAGGGCATCTTCTGGCCATGTGGTAGAGATGCCACAAGGAGTTAGGTTTTAGTCATTTATAGCTTCTTCAAGCACAGGTAATGCTGTTCATCTCAGAGACCTTCCTTATGTCTCTTAACAATAACATTCCATAAATGTTCTCTCTGCAAATTGGAACCTGTTGGGTTTTCATCTTTCATCTCTGATTTCTAATGCAGCTAACCCAGAAAGGCAAACTTGAGTTTGCAAACTCAAAGGCTTCATTCTGCAACACTTCGGTTTCTGAATTCAGCAATCAGACGCAATTTTGCTGTTTTTTTGGCTTGGTTTTGCATGTGTTTTTGGTTTCTTTCCACCCATTTCCTTTCCAAACTAGAAACAGACAGCAGAGGGGGAAAACACAAACTGTGAAAGAAGAAACGAACTGGTAAGGCTTGAAACCACACTGGCAGCTTCACTAGAAAGACTCATGTGAGTGCTGACTGTCATTTTAACTTTAATCTCCATTTTCTGTTTCTCATCTCAGCAGTAGCTGCATCCAGCGACCAGAGCCAGATTCCTATAATTGTTGTGTCTGTAACAGTGGGAGTCATTCTGCTGGCTGTTGTTATCGGTTTCCTTCTCAGCGGAAGGTAAGAGAAGAAGCTGTGTATTTATACTTCTCTGACTTCTGTAATAACTTTTATCTGACCAGCTGATTAGCACGATTTAGGTGAAAGCAGCATGTGAATGAAGATGTCGAGTCGCAGCGCTGTAGAACAGCACGAAGGTGGGCTGATTGATCTGTTTGGACAGGCAGGAAAGGCAAAGGCTCACTCACAGATGTAGTCTACTTCACAATGATTTTCATCTCTGCATAGGCTGACCCTGACTATTCGACCGGATCCTCACAGGAGTGTTTTCACGTTCCTTTGAAAATAAGCAGAACATGTTATTGCAGGTAAAATACCCTGAACCCCACATGTTTGCACTCAGTGCTCACAGTGGGCTTTGCACACAGGGGAAACTTGACTTCAGGAAAACACTTGAACAGGAGAAGAAACCCAACCGAGTGGTCAAACATGTCAAGCTTTGGTCAGGTCTGGATTTTGTTTTTCATGTGTAGGACACTAATGTGTTCCTAGCGTGTTACTAAATTTTACAGAGAGCTACCCCCACAGAGGGAGACACTCAGCTTCAAACCATCAAGAGATCCCACTGACTTCTCATGTGCTTAAACATAGGCAAGTAATGAAAGCCTGGGCTATACCATCTTTGACAGCTCTAATGGAAGCTGATGGCACTTGTTGGTGGACAAGAGATTGTGGTATAGGGAGAAAAATCTAGCTTGGATCAGGGTCTAAGACACTTTTTTCATATACTACATGTCTATTAGTATTTTTTTTTTTAATGGCAATAGTCAAATGATGCAACATCCTTTGTGCAAAACTATGTGAGGTGCATCTGTTGATAAGAGTGAACTTGTTTTCACTGTGAAGAAAACATTTATAGTTCTAAGGTACCCGTCAGCCCACTGCTGCTTTCACGATACAGGTCTGTTTTAGGCTCGGGTCTAGCAAGGTTGCTGTAAGTTACAGGATACTGTAATTGTTAAGAGTAGTTGTAAGATACTCACAGAGGAAACTGTGCTGATACTGAATATATTGGCTGAGGGTCTTATTTCCCAGAGGAGTCAGGGTATCAGTCTGTGAATGTGGCATGGTGAAATCCAGCCAGGCTAAGCAGCTCTGTCCCCAGGCATAGAGCATCCATGGAAGGACACAGTTATTTCTGGTCTTAAAAAGGTAAGTGTTCTGCCAGACTCCTCTCCACTCAAGGTCAGAGACTGACAGTCTCTTCCAGCTCAGCCTTCAAGCTCCTGTCATCTTCTGTGAGTGACTTGTTGGGCTTAAAAATAGGAAAGTAAACTCTCCTGTCTGCGTGAGAAGCATGCAGCAGCACGAGGGGGGTGAATGGCCACAAGCCATTCACACCAGCAGATACAGGAAAGCTGTAGCCAGAAGGACTTGGCTCTGAGCACTGTAGGCAGGAGTTCAAGTCTGTGCTTAAAGGCTGGAGGTTTTGAATCAAATCCCACCTCAGATAGAGCTGGGGGACGTGGAGCTTAGTCTCCCCCAGTCTGCATGCCTGCCTGTATCGGTGCGGGCAGGAGGATGCGCGTGGCCGCGGGGAAGCTGCACGTGTAGCCTGGCACCTCTGCGAGGAGGAATCAGAGTGGGCCTAAGTCGTAGGTGGAGGGGTGTATATCCCTCTGGGGCCATGAAGAATCACAACTGTGTGGCAGCCAGCAGCTCTTGCTCTTCCCACAGTTGCTGGAGAGTACTTGGGACCCTTTAAGGGAGGGCATGCCCTTGCAGGTCTTTTTGCTGCTACCCTCTCTGGTCCAAGCAAGCAGTTGCAAAGCCTGAGCCATTTGTGAGCAGTTCTTGCTCATTACGTCTTTCTGTCTTTTGTCCTAATGGACTTTCCAGGACTTGCTTCCTCTTGGCTCTTGATTTCTTGGCATGTCTATAAAACTTCCATCTTCTAAGGCAAAACCTTTGATGCTGCCTTAATCCTCTTACCTTGTACTCACACCTCTCTGGAGTCCCCAGGGCAGCTTCAGGTTCCCAGGAGCTTCTCTGTGGTGCCATGCTGGACCTATGGGAAGGAGCAGGCAAGCCGAGCTGAGCTCTTGGTCCACTTTTGTTTTTTCAACCCTTCCCCTAAACTGGGAAGAACCTAGTCCCTCAGCTGGAGGTGGTGGAGAAGTCTCCAGCGCCAAGGTTTGGTGGTCCATCATTAGAGAGCTGGCTTCAAAACCATAGAGTTTCTTGGCTGCTTTGAGTTCATGTGGATTTTAAAGCCTGTTTAGTATGCTGAGTGACTTGTGAGGACAGGAAAATAAACCCCAGAAGCCCAGAAAGCTGACAGCCAATTTGAAATTAAACAAAGCAAAACAAAAAAATTACTTGTTTGGAAGAAGCAGAGATGCCGCTGAAATGTGTCACTCATGCTGCTTTGCCTTCAATATGATTTTGAGACAGTTCATGGAATGACTCTTCTGCTGTGACACTGTGGGGACAATAAACACATTCCAAGTCATGGGATAATCCCTTTCTGAAGCTGTTAACCTGGTTCTGGAAGATGCTTTCCTGTGTCTTTTGAATGGTTATGTTGTTCCAGTGCCTGGTTCCAGGGGGTTAAATTATCTTTCCTAATTTTTTCCCATACTTGCGTTTGGAGAAACAGACATTTTGAACTCCAGGAGTTGCTCCAGCTGGAAATGCCATTGCTTTCTGTGCCAAGAAACGTGTGCAAAGCCTGAGCTCTGTCTTTTCTGTTGATGTAGGAGAGCAGGTACTGCCCAGCAGCAAAGCTGAGGAGAAAAACCCTCTTACTCTGCAGCACTGAGGGCATAGCCTGGGCAGCTCCTGCGAACAGGTTTCTTGTTGCTGGCTCTCTGCTGCTCCCAGGCTCCCTGGGGGGCCCTGGGCACCTCAAAATTAGGATATTCCTCCCTAGGATGCCATCTCTTTGTGCTTGTCCTCCAAGTGCCAGGCTGAAGCAAGCAGGAGCTTGAGAGCAGTCCCACAGTGAAGGAAGGGAAATCCTCCTGCTCCCAGCAGGTTGGAAGGTAGGTCCAAGCTGTAGGACTGGGGATTTTGCTGGGCTCTGCAGGCCTTTTATTTTCCACTAGGGCCCCGGACGCAGAAGCTTCCACACCTCTTCCCCCTTTTATGCTTTCAAGTGTTATCTGCAGTTTTCTTTTTGACAAAGGTAAGTAACAGCTTGGCATTTCCCGTTGGCAGCTGGCCCTAAACCAAAGGTCAGCTGAACAGTAGGCACGGTGGCATTTCCACATGCCAGCGTCCATCTGTGGAAACACGCTTTATGTCTGAAGCCGGAGGTTCCTAGGAATTTGAAAATAAATGTGCTTTGCCCTAAACAATTAAGCTGCATTTCAAAGCTGATGTACTTGCAGATGCTCCAGAAAACTCTTCCTGTAAGTAATGCGTCCTCTGACCAAGGTCATAAATGCCAAGCAAAATAGCTGATCACTTTTTTAAGTTATCTTGCTCTTTGCATCAAGGACATATTAATAATATAATGATCGGGAATACAAATCAAAGAGATTCACTAAATCAGACTGTAGTTGTCTCAGCAAAAGAAGAGAAGTGGATTGAAAATCTATTATTAAACCAGCTACAAGCATTGAATTAAAGAACACGGAGTTGTTATTATCTTTGTTTTGTTAGGATTATGTGTTCTTCTTGAAAGCGCAATGCATTTTACAGATAGGGCAAGGCTATAAATTTGGCTTTCCTAGCAATGCTTGAATTAGACACCACTTGGCATTGTTGTTCCTGCTTGAAGTATCTATTAATCCAAAATCATTACAGGCTTTTGTTTTACAGTCTGTGTCAGACAATGCCTGTCACGGAGATCTTTGCACTCCGTCTTCCAAGGAGCAATAAGGTGCCACAGTCATCGTGGTGTCACCAGCCCCTTTCTTCTTACAGACTGAGCTAGAAAGCCAGGTTTCCATCAGTCTGGAAAGGAGACCCACTGCTCCACAGCAGTTCCCCCTCTTTTATCCTCAAGCCCTGTTTGCAAACCTGACAGGGTCTTAGGGTGAGTGTTAAGCCACTGTAGGTCACTCCAGTTCCCCAAGCATTTGAGCTTTGTAGCACTAAACAAAGGCATGGGTTTTACAGGGTAAAAAGGGGACACTATTAGGTCAATGCTGTGCATGTTTACAAAAGCTGCTCAAAATAACTAAGAAGAGTACTGTGCATCTGCATTTATACCCATTATGGATGACCTTTCCATCTCAAGTGATCTTCCAAAGAACTGAAGGGAGCTTTTTATAGAATTTGAGGGAAAAAAAATAGATTTGAAGCAGCAAAAAACTGCCCCTCGCCCTGTGTTGTGCATATATAGAAAGTCTCTTTCTGGCAAGGAAGTAGCCTTCAAAAGACAAAGCAAAGACATATCTTGCCACCTGAGCATTGGCAATTAGAGGCTTCTGCACTAGAGTATTCATCCCTGACCTTAGCTGATTTAGACTTTTAAATATCAGCCCCTGTGGTGGCAGAGTGCTACTTTCTGGACACAAATATATGCATCTTGTTAAAAAGTGACTTTCAGAGAGTAGAGAGGATGAAAGAACTGTGGTGTATATCCTAGGTCCTGAGCCAGCGTTTGCAACCTTCCATGATCTGGAAGGTTACAATGGATGAATTTTTCCACAACCCCTCCCCATCCTATTTTCCAAGATGTGTCAGGGCTTAAAATAGTTTGCTTTTTCAATATTTCCCGTAGGAAACGGGAGACAGTTTGTAGATAATGTTTTTCATAGAGAGAATTTTTCCAGCATGAGTCACAATTTTTGTTAGTTGTTACTTTTTAAAGGATTTTTATCTCTACATTTTTGCCTGCTCTTCCTTCTTCCTACAGGACATTGTCTTCCATGATTTATAACCACTCTGTAATGCTGCCTACTGCCAAATATTGTTCACGATTCACCTGACCGGAGGAAGGGCTTTGCTGGAGTAGCCCTTGGTCTGCCAAGACAAAATTCCCATCCACAAAGAGCAGGCAGGGTCTGGTCCTGCTTCTGTTTGGGTCAAGGTTTTTATGACCTCTGTCATGTTAACAGCCTCTTTGTTCTTTGGCAGTTTGTTTTCCCAGAGAGGAGCGTTAGCAGCTTTGGTATACAGGATTCCTCTCTGAAAAAAACGTGCTCCAGTCTAGCCTTCTGCACAGGGTGATGCCTTCAGAGGGCCAGTATGGAAACTTTTTTTCTTCTTTAATTCTAAACACTTTTTGGCTTAATGCTTCTGTGCAAACACACCAGGCTCCACAAACCAGTCTGAGCTGCTGCAGTTTCAAGGAGGGTTTAGGGACCTAGGCTCATCTGCCTTCAGATGACTTCAGCCCAGACAGGAGGTGAGAGTTGACCCAATCTGTAATTAAGCTCCAAGCCCATGGGGCATTGCCCTTGAAAGCATCATTTCTGAGTTATTCTGGCAGCAGCCAAGGGGATGGGGCAGGAGGAATATCATGAACAGATAAGCAGCTGGTGAAAGCTTTGTCTGAGCAGGGGAAATGTGGGAGAGTACAGCAGTCAGTGGCAAACATTCCTCACCTTCATTCAGATGATGCATTTGATGGCATAGTGCAAGTCCTGTTTCTACTCCAAGACGGGAACTGGATTGCCCTTCAAGCTGAAAATGGAGCGTGACTTCAGTAGTGGCAGCTCCAGTCTCCTTCTGATCACTGATGAAAGCCCATGCATACGTAGTGTTTTAAAGTAGAGTCTTACAGTGTCTCCTCTTGGCTGTGGAGTGAGTAGAGGATGAAGAATAAAATCAGACTGTCATCCCCTCTGCAGTTCTGAAATGTGGATGGTTCACCTTGCTTTGGATGCTAGAAATAGGAAGCGTGACCTCTCCTGGGGACAAACCATGCTGAGGCACTTGGCCTCTTAACTAGAAACAAAGGTTATCCATACTTTCTTATGGCTTAGACATAGCAAAGCCAGAGATCTTTCCAAGTGGAGTTCCTTTCCCTGGAAGCATTACTGTCTTTCCCCACAGTGATTGCATAGATACTGTCTGCTCCGGCTTCTGCTTTCTCAGTTATTCTCAAGCAGCACAGAGCTGTGCTTTAAAGTGTGACCTAGGTATAGCTCAGCGGGAAGAGGAGGTGACTCCTTAAACTTTCATATAGTTCTGGGCAAAGAAGAAATATATTTCTAGCATCTCACAGTGTGTAATGTTGCTTCTCTGATGCCTGAAGCAAGCATGTTGACTTGTGAGGTGCTAGGTGTGGTGCTGGCTTCCTGACCTGGAGATGCAGGAAACAGTCATTGCCATCGCTCAGGGCCGTGTGAAGGGTTAGAGAAATCTTCCCAGGCACCCTTTAAGTACTTCAGTCTGTAATTGCAAGCCTCTGAAGACCATCCCATGCTCACTAAAAGCAACAAATGAGGCTTTCATTTATCATGACTTGAAATCTTCAACTTATACTTCTTAAAAGCCACAGCTACATATGGCAGAGCCTCTCTGAGACCTACCTAGTCACTAGAATAGCGTTTAATTCTGAATGCTCTCTAGGTTGTCTGCAGACTTGTGGTAAATTAATTACATTGTTTGCAGGCACAGTTTTTGGGACTCACCATATATACACGTTACATTAACAAAGCATATAGCCCAGGGTTTGAAATGGTGCCAGGGGTGTTGATAAGTCCTCCTACCAGAGGTTTATTAAAGTTTGTTCACTGGACAGTTTGGTTTGCAAATCACATGGGCATTGCAGGGGTCACCTTTGCTAGGAAGGAATGTTGGCTTTGTGTGCCTGAGATGACCAAAAGCAGCAGAGTTGGTCTAGCCAAGAAGCCAGGCAGTGCCAGCAGGCTACAGAGGTCCAGGAGGTGCTGGTGCAGCAACAGGCTCCTCTGCATTGCCTCTGGCCATCTACAGTCGTTTCCTTGAAGCCAGGACTCAAAGCAGAACTCACACTTTGTTTCAGGCCAGCTTGGCTTTTGGAGATGGAGCTGCCTCAGTGCCTCATTCTTTCCCAGCAAAGGGGATTGAACACTGCAGGTGTTTTCTCAGTAACCTTCAGTTATGTGGATGTGTCACCTCTTATTCTGCAGGAGGTCAGATGGACTCCTGACTGCCTGCTGAAGCCAGGGGTAGCCCCCACAAACTCTCCTCATAGTCTTGCTGGTTGATTCAGTGAGGCTGTAGGAGACTTTGCAGAAAATTTTTGTGTATACAGTGCTCTGTTCAACTCTGACTGCTCCCTGATACAGGTCAGCACACTGACAAAAGATCTTGAAACCCCAGAGAGGTCCAGGCACATTTCATTGAGTGGCTTATCCTGCCACAGCATTTGATCTCTTCTGGAAAGCATTTGCTTTCAGCTAAGTTTCTAGACTGAAAAAGCCCTGCATGGAGCAAGGAGACAGGGGAGCTCTGCTCTTCCTAGAAGCCTTTAGCACCCAAATGCAGTGGCCATGAGGGCACAGAAGGTTTGCTGGAGTTTGATATTCAGTTTTATTTGCCTCAGGACTTTTATATTCTGAAGCTTATATGCCACATCAAGCCATCCTTTTAACACAAGCAATAATTAATTTTCCTTTACATTTCCCCCAGTGTTACACCTCCGGGTATTTTGACCCTAAGTGCACAGCATTATGCGATGTGTGCAGGAGCAGGGCTGCATTGAGGCATATTGCCCTTCCACTTGAGCATTTCTTACTCCACATGAAAGGGAGCAAGTGACATCTGAAGACCTCTGCATTCAGTGCAGGGATCTGATTTTTGTCTCGGAGCAGCCCAGTTGCTGATGAAGTGCTCAAAGAGTTTTCTTTGCTTAAGGAAACAGTGAGCTCTTTTCATTTTAAAGGAGTGGTTGCTTTTCAGGTTAATTGAACTGTTGTTTCAGAAACCTTGACTTTGCATGCTGAGCAGTGTTGGAAGGTCTGGTGGCAGCAACTGTTATAAAATGCCTGGGGAGAAAAGGCCTCTGAGCTAAAATGTAAGCTAAGTTGTCACAGCCACAGTCATCTTCTGCAGGCGTAACAGTTTCCTGCGCTCAAATCCTGCGAGGTTAAACCCAGAAAATGGCAAAATTGACTCAAAATATATAATGCTTGCATTTCCTCTGTGTGCTTGTGGGTTTTGGATCTCTGGTGTTAACTTGGATCAGTGGAGAGGTTTAGTGATGGCTGAGCTGCTCCCATATTAATATGCCTGTACAAGCTGGGACATTATGAAAATACAAATATTGTCAATTACAGTAAAAAAATATTGGCATCACTGTTTAGAAAACATTAGTTGTTTTGCTGATGCAAAAGGAGCTTAAAGAGACATTCTTCACCAGTTCTAATTTAAGTAAGCACATAATCCAGTATATAATTCTGTAAATCATTGCATGCCTGAAGTTATTTTGCCTCATAATTCAAGGCAGTACAGTTGCAGAATGTTAATTTTGTGTAAATAGGTTATTTTAATGTGTTCAGGCATTTTAAGTTATACTTGATAAAAATCTGATGGGCACAATTTTTTTTCAAGAATGACACGTCATGATGATTTGAGGAGAAATGATGAGTGAGATCTTCAGCTGACTTGAATCGGAGTGTGTCTGCACCCTTGGGCTCCTGCTTGTGTATCGTACTGAAGTTCCTCCTGTTGTTTCTTCTGCCCTGTGTTCTTTTTCAGGATGATTTACCTTAACAGATTGGGTAACAGGAAGATTGTCCACTCAAGTTCTTTGGCAAGGGCAAAGGGCAGTTACTGAGGTGCAGCGAGCCTCAGGTGATGGACTGATAACCAGGCGAACCCATAATCTGATCAGACTAGAGTAGTGGCTCAGCAGCCTTCAAAAGCAAGCTGTGCCCGCACACATCAGGTCCTGCTTCTGCAGATACTTAACACACCTGCAAAGCTTCACTGGTGCAAGGAGGCCCAGAAGGGGCTGTGTGAGTTGAGCGTGTGCCTAAGGGCCTGCAAAAGCAGGGCTCACATCCATCCCGTGCTTTTTTATTTAAAGAAAATTGTAACTGTATAATTGTAACCAATCTATACGCTCTCCCCAAGGAGCTTTCCTCCAGTGGTAGCACTTGTCATGAAATTCTTGCAGCCCAGGGTGTACAGATAATAATTGCAATAAGGAAGAAGAAGCGCGTGTAAAAATGTTGCGAATGTATTTGCACCTTGCCAGGGCGGTGGGATTTTTCCTTATCCTGGGCCTTTTTGTTTGCTTTTCAGTTGCTGCGATCATGGCTGTGGGTGGGCTTCTTCTCTGCGTGCTGTTGCCTATCCGAGCCTAACATGGTCAGTGTTCCCACCTGTGCTGGCTCCTATTTTGTGTCCTCCCTCCATGTTTTCTCTGCACAGCCTGCCTCTCCCTCCCTTTTTTGTACTGGCCTGGAAATTGCTTTCTCATCCGATCTCTGCACCCGGCTTGTCTATCTCAACAATGGGAAGTAGTGTGACCCAAAGCAGAGTGTGTCTCCAGCAGGAGCAGGGGCCCCAGGGGAAGCAAACCTGACACCTTATGCCAAGATTGATCCAGACACCGCACCAGCAATGTTATGTGTCATACTAAAACATCACATGTGCTGCACACTTCATCAGATTCTGCTCCTTGTCAACAAAATAGGCCAGGAGAGGTAATTTGCCCCCAGAAAGGAGGTGTGGGGGGCAGGGAGGAGTGAAAAGGTATTTAATGGCATGTAATGTGCATGGCAGTGAAACGAAACCGTGTGTCCTCAACATAGATGTCAATTTATGACATAGGCAGCAATGGCGTGGTGCTGTTTGCCAACGATATGCTCCAGCAGCGTTGGACATATCTCTGCAGGTGTCGAGAGCTGCGTGTCCGTGCTGCATGCTGCCCCCTTCTACCACCATCCAGGCTGCCAGTTTCTGGACTCTGGTATTCCCCGGTCCTTTCTAACTAATCAAAGGAAGGGTCATTTTCATTCCTGTTGGTTTGACTGGGCCTGAGTTGAGTTCCTCCCCAAAGGAAATGTTTTAGGTTTCTGAATTGGCTTTAATCCATGGACCTAATCCATTCAATTTAGTTAACATGGATCTAATCCATTAGATCCATGGATTTAATCTGGGATCCAGGCAGAGATCATCTCAGGTTCTGAGGAGACTCATGAAATCGCCATCCCCATCAGATAGCTGCTTGAGACCATAGGAGCACTGAGATGTCCCACATGCATTGTTAAACTGGGAAGGTTTTGCAGCATAGCTGCGTGAGAGGTGTGAAACTCTTCTGCTGTGTTTGGTGGCTGTTGAGGCTTTGCATGTTGGTAGCTGGGTCATGGTGTAGTCCCTGGTTGTGGGGCGCAGCCATCACCAAAGTGGACCAATTTTGTGTCCTCTAGTCCCGTGTTTTGACTCTCCAGGGAGGAGTGTGCAAATGCAAATCCCAAATGCCCTAAAGCAGAAAGCTTCCTGTTGGAACATTTTAAGTTGGTTCTCATGACTTCTGAGTGCTTAAGAGCAGCATTAGCAAGCAAGGCTGCTCAGCATAAAGTGTTTGGCTGCAAAGTGTTCTCCTGGTACGTGTGGTCGTTCCAGTGAGCGATTGGTTTGGCAAAGACTATGCTAAGGAAAACCTCCTGGTACTTATGTTTTCTGTTGTGCCTGTGCCACCAGTGCACAAGCAGTCCTGTGCTGGGAGTCATGCTTCAAATGTCCTCAGCAAGGCCCACAACCAGAGAGTGGCAGCAATGGAAAAATACCTCTCAGAAGAGACCAGGAATGCACTGGATGGCTGCAAAGGAGAGAGATGCATAGGGAAGACTTGGCTGACCTGGAAAACACCCTCTGCAAGTTTCCTCCTAAGTCGCAGAGAGACTAACGTGGCAGAAAACTGAGAGGGGGAGATGGGAAAAATGACTTCAAGGCATGGATGCCATCAGCTGTGCTATGGGAAGGCATGACAACCACTTTAGAGAGATTTATGGAGATCACTTCAGAGAGAGCTTCCTGCAAGAGGGGAAAACAGTATCTTGTTTAAATTACTTTTAATTGTTCTTGTCGTGGTTTAGGAAGGCAGGGAGCCATTCAGTGCAAAACCAGGGAAAGACTAGAGGCTAAAAATACCAGCACTGGAACTGTGAAACTTCCTTTGGAAGGCATCCAAGTTAATCAGAGGTCAAGGGCAGGATTGCACCTTGTAGAAGGGGACAGCAAGCGGTTGGGAAAGCAGCTAAAAAGATGGTGAGCCTGCAGCCCTTAGGAAGGGAATCTGACATGGCTCCTCTTGGACCAGTTGTCTAGTGTATCTTTGAACTGAGATGAAGGCCTTACTTTGTCATTTCAAGACCTTTTATTGTTCCTCTCATCCCGGTCTCCAAATTATAGGACTTCAAGAGTAGATAGAGGAGTTAACAAGTCAGATTCCCAGCCTGCATGGGTTGCCTCCAGTTACTCCAGATGAAAGTTTGGTCCAGTGCAATGGAAGTAACTCATTATAGATGTCAAAAAAAGCAGGAGGAAAGTCAACAGAAAAATGGGAAACAAATTCCAACATAAAAGCTGTATATTTGTCTGCAGTACCTTGAGTATTCCCTGGTTTTGTGATACTGAATATATTCTGGGATTGCAAGCAGCAAAGGCAAATGCTGAACATGGCCCAGCAAGGGTAGAGGTAGAGTTTTGCCTCTGGCTCTCAGTATCAGTGTTGTTTATCCTGTATAAAGCTGTTTGCTGAACAAGTTATTGTCTCTACACATGAGCTGAGGCGACAGGATCTTGGCCAGATGGACGGATCCATGTGCGTTTGTTCCTCTGGGTGGAATATGGTCCTGCTCTGAAACACGTATGCAGCCTTATTGCTTTAACATCTTGGAATAAATAGTCTGAAATGAGCTGCAGCTCCTTGTAAACAACCACCTTGCAGTCCTCGCAAACCTCCTGTAAAATGACAGCTCGAGATGGGTTGGATGCATTCCTCGAAGTTGATTTATTGTAAAAGAATTGCTTCTGAGTGAAGATCTCACCTCTGAAAAGCAAGTGGTGTTTTGTCTCTCTTTCAGAAAAGCGCAGGGTTCATTTATCTCATATTTAAGAGACTAAATACAGGTATAAATCTCTGCAGGACTGGGACAGGAGTCTGCATGCTGCTTCAGGGCACAAGCCATTCCATAGCATTGGCTGCACCTAGCACAGTGAGGTCCCTTTCCTCACTGCAGGGTACCTAAATGCTGGCCCCATGTGCGTTTCCAGTCACACCTTGGTTGTGTACTGAAATGCTTTGGCCTATGACTATGAAAACAGCATATAAAGATGCTCCCACGTTGCTGCCTGGGCCTTAGGTGTCCAAGGTGCAGCCCCACGGTCCCCTGACTATGTCCTGCCTGGGCTTTGACCACAGTGGTGGCCCCGGCTACAGAGATGGACACTCCTTCCCTTGGGCATTCGGTGGTTTTGGGGAATGCCTTGGGCACTACCCAAGAACGACACCCCAATGCACAGGGTCAGAAGCACCAGGGAGAACAAGTATCTTTCTGCCTTGTTTCTTGAAGGATTTTTCTCTGTGAATTGGTTCCTGCCATGCAGGGCAGTGGGTGTTGGTTTCCCAGCTGGATTCTTCATCTTTCTACCTGTCCGTTTTATATTTCATAAACCTATATAGGGATCATTTTACAACTTCACTTTTATAATCTGCCCTATAAATATTTTATGAGCTGCCTGCCAATCTGCGAGTAGTTTTTAAATAAGACATGATGCCTTAAGAATATTTAAAGTCTTGCTTTTTTTTTTTTTGTCTGATACTTCTATTGAAAAACACAGAGCTATGCAAGGAAGACATCTGCTTTCTAGATACAGAAACTGGGACAAATCCACAATAGGAGTAAATGAGTTGAGATTCAGGTGTAGTGCTGAATCACATTAACTCTTTGGCCAAGTATCTCCAGCTCAGTGGGAGATGAAGCAAGCATCAGGGTCTTTATGCTGCTGCTGTATGTGATATAGAAAAGTATATAGGAAATCTATGTTTTGTACAATGACAATAAACCAGAGAATGAATTATCCATCAGGAGGCTTTTGACTTGCAGCTTTGCCAATAAATATTAAGAACAAATGCACATGCAGAAATGGATTATTTCACAAACAAATGGGAGGGTTTTCTTCACCCAAAATATATTGCAAAGCCACAATATTTTCATACTATTATCCACTAGTTAGATTCACATAGTGAATCAGAAATGTTAACCTGAAATAGCAGATTTTTATGGGATTTAGTTGAGGAAGAAAGGAGAAAAAAACCTGCTTGTGTGTGTTATTTAAAGCATCTGTAGGTCAAAAGAAGAAGTTCAGTTTAGCCGCAATCAGTGTGTACATGGCTTGTTCCTCTAGGTAGCCCAAGAAAGTGAGCGTGTGAAGGGCACAAGTGATTGCAGCAGGCAGGTTTTGCAGCAGGCTTTGTTAGTGACACCCAACTGTTGCTTGACAGTCACAGTCCACTACCTGCCATTTCACTTGGGCGTGTCTTGTTGAGGCTTGTTTAACAATGCTGTGGGGGTCCCAGACCTTGATTTCCTATGCTAATGTGATGTGCTGCTGTATGAGTTACCCAGCTTGAGGGAGGAGGTCATCTGGAGCCTACTGGTTTGTACTGGCCCTTTTGAGTGTGCCCCTGGGCAGTAAAACATGGACCGTTGTTCTTGCATTACTGGACGCAAGTGGTGGCATGTTCCCTATTTCTCTCTCCTCCCTCTTCATGGCTGAAGAATCAGGAGATGCTGGTAGTAAAATGATGATGTTAGAAAAGCTTGTGAAGTGCTCCAAAACTGAGGAAGAGGTGAGGGCGTTTGGTCTATAAGGTGAACAGAAGAAATCTTGTATATGTGCATTTAGTAGAGGGATGAATTGAAACATTTGTATGTTTTGAGTTATATACCTCAATCCAGAAAACCACTTCTGTGGGAACTTGCTCTAACTTTTAGCAGCTTGCACCAGAAAAAAAATGGAGTTGGCAGGAGTAGGAATTGATACGTGTATCTCTCCATATACTTATATCTCTAGTTTATATCCTTAAAGGGGGGAGGCAGGATGGTGAAGAAAGAGAAAAATCCATTTTCACCTGGGGACTATGACCACCCAAGCATGCTTTGAAATGACCCCCACTCCCAGGGCCTCCATATTGCCAGTGCTTAGTTTTTGAGTGAAGTAGGCAGGACCCATCCCAGGAAGTGGGACCGCTACCACGGGAGCACGGCAAGGAGCACCGGCACCTGCCCCCAGGCACCTCCTTGCCTCTCTCGTGGATTTTGCATTCAGAGCATGATGATCTCAGCATGGTCACTGCTGCTGAAATCGTGCCCTGCATGGATAGCCTGGCTGTTTATCAAGTGTGACCCGGTTATCTCCCTGCCTGTGTCCCTGGACTGCCTGTCAACCCCTGCCCTCGTCTTCTGAACCTTGTTTCAATCCCTTCTCCTGTGCTTGCACAACCTTTGCAGTCTGTTTTATCCTACTCTCCCCTTGGCACGGGTCTCCCCTTCTCCCCAGGGTAAGCTTGCGTGCCTGCTCCCCTTCCCTGCAGTAGCCCTGGGAGCTCATGTTGCTTTTTCCCTCCTCAACCCACCGGTGTCTGGTTCCCCACCTGGTTCTGCTGGGGCCAGCTCGGTGGTGGTGTGTGCATCCTGTCACATTGGGGTTTTTGTTTGTAATTGTGATCGTTTCACAAATCCAGTGCCAAAATCCTATAGCCGAAAGGCTGCTTGGCCCTTTGCATCCAGGCAGACAGCAGTTCCCTGTAATAGGACTTCACGCTGAGGGCATATTTCATGCAGATGTCTATTACTGCCTTCTCCTAATGGCAGTTTTGTTTCTGCAAATCATGTGTTTCTCCTTGCTGCGAGTGATGCTGGAGTGCTCACGTCCCTCTGTCTCAAAAATCATGGGCAGTGGAACAGAAGACTCCCAAATTTCTCAGCTTTAACCGACTTCTGGTAACCTGAGGCTTTCTTTGAGGTGTGCCAGCTAGTGATCCCACTGCACACTGGCTGGCTGGCAGACTGTTGCATTTTCTTCACTCTACCAAGCAGTGTCCCTCTGTCTCATGTCCATGCAGTTTGCTTTAAGGATGATCTAGTTCCTGTATCTAGTTATATCAAGACCTTGGAAGGACTGGCATATATGTGTGCATCATATGTACCTCATCCTGCATTTTTAAATATATATATATATGTACATGTGTGTGTATATAGTAGATCTCCTTGCCTATGCAGTTACCTTGTGGCCTCCTATCTGGCTGTCAAAGTGAAACAGGTCTCAGAAATGCCACCAAAGCAGCCAGTTAATCCTAATGCACTAACGTCGCCTAGAGAATCAGCAAGAAGAATGGGGGACGAGACAGGGAAGAGCAGCCAAAGATTAATGGGAGGATGCCCTGAGGGAGATGCAGTTCCCGTATGGCTGTGGTTGTAATTCCATGGTAGGATTCAGCAGCATCCTTGCACTGCCTGGTGCTAACATGGGAGTAAGATAGGTCAGGCAGTGACTGCATGCCTTCTGCCATCTTGGTGGCTGCTGGACAGAGGGGATTGCATGGATGGTAGCTCCCCTGCATAAGGACAGGACACATGCAAGGAACCTTATCAGAGCCAGGAATGCACAGGGGAACCTTGAAAGCACTGAGACAACAGATTTTGGGTGTTTAAGCATTATTTTGCGTGTATGTAATGTGTTCATATTTACAGAAGGCTGTCTTCTAAAGTATGAAAGTTTAAAGTTCTGCGCAAATGCCCAGTGGATGAAGGGGAGCATGCAATACATACAACATGATGCCTTCAAAAGCTCTGCAGTCCAGGAGATCTTGCTTCTGCAATTCTAATGTTTCATCCCATTCCCCTTTCATCGTCCTTTCTGTTCTTGCTTTTTTTTCTTCTTAATAATGGCTGAACTAGACGTATGGTAGAGTGGAGTTGTTCAGAAGCATCTGTGGGATTTGGAAACCCAAGTCCAATTGAAAAGCAGTGGGCCTTGGGCTCTGAATCCCGTTAGGAAGATTGCAAGTAGTTTGATGAACTAAAACTGGGACAGCAGCAATGCAGCCGCTAGAGAGGCTGGATTAGTTGCTGCTCTGGGTTTTTGTGCTTTTTGTGATTTGAGGTAAAGAGCAGGGTTCTGCCATACCAGAGACAAAACAACTCTTCTCTTCTTGTTTTTTTTGTTTTTTTTTTTTTCCCAGGCGATGTGGCTATAGCAAAGCTAAACAAGATCCAGAAGAAGAAAAGATGCATTTTCATAACGGCCACAGTGAGTAAAGATCAAACATGTATATTTGTATATTTTCGGCTTTTGCCTTGCTGTAGTAATGAGAAATACAACTGCAAGGGGTTTTCTTAGTGTCTAAATCTGGGTTTGCTGGTAATTCACAAAAGATTGTTTGTCCTGTTACTCAGTAAGTCACCACTTGCCCCTGCTCTAAGCCCCATGGGCAAATGAATGTTTGAGCAGTCCCCATATGTGCCCACCTATTCGCACCTCTGTGTTTGCAGCAGATCTCTAGCAAGCCATTTTGTTCTATTCCTCCGTCTTTGCTGCGTGACCCAATGTGCTATTAATTTTGTCTGGTCAGTGCATAACAACTCTACATTTCTGGGGTCTGGACCCATCAGTCAATAAAACCTGTTTGAAACCCTTGCTCCATCCCAGCCAGCCTTGAGGACCAAGCCCACAGCTACTCTTTGCTATGGATGCATCTGCAGAGGCATGAGGAATAACACCTACTTCTTGCTCCTGAGAAGCTTTCAGAAATGCTGTGTTGATGCCCTTATATACAAAAAAAACTCTGCAGTGACACTAGAGAGTACATTCTCACAGTTACTGTCAGTCCTTCTGTACATCCAAAGCCAGTGTTTGAAATGCCTCCTTCATCAAGGGCTGTGGGGTCTGGGGATGGGTAACAGCGAGGTGCCTTTTGGGGTGGAAAAGGCAAACGCATCTTCAGTGAAAGTCAAATTTCGATTAGTGCAATGTAATGAAGGCAGCAGGAAGCAAATCAATTAAGAGCCACAGTGTAATGTACCTGTCTTATTAGACTGATGAGAAGGTCTTTGTGTGAGTAGCCTTAATCATTGTCAAAACAAACTTATAATATGGATAATGAAAATAGTTTTTCCCCCTCTCAAGTCCTGAAGAAAAAGCCTGCTATTGATTATATTTATATTGGTACAACCCACAGGCTTTGTACTGCAAATATTCAGTTCATTTAAATCTCAGTAACTCCATCTGAAATACTGTGGCCAATTGATTAGCTAATATGTGACTGGTAAGGCATAAATTATTTCAGTTCTCCATCAGCCACCACCCATCCAACTTGCTTTGCAAGTTGTTCTCTTAACATTTTGCATTTTTTACTTTTGCTCCTGGTGAACCCTCTCAGATCCAGGAAGGGATCCTTTTGCACCAAACCCCGACCAGCCTGTTAACACGAGACTGAGGAGGATTTTTAGCTGCGTGTCATTCCAGCTGAGCACTACCATACACTTTGCTAATTATGAGGAAGTTGCACGTCACATATCAACGAAATGTCATTTTCCAAGAATACTATTCATTTTTCCCAAAGAAATAGGTTTTCCTGCTGCAATTTTCCAGCAAAGCAGAGTGCAAGGGAGAGGAGCATGCATTTCCCATCTTGGAATCATAGAACCATTTCAGTTGGAAGAGACCTTTAAGATCATGGAGTCCAACCATTAACCTAACTTTACCAAGTTCCCTGCTAAACCATGTCTCTAAGCACCATATCTACATGTTATAAATACTTCCAGGGTGGTGACTTCACCACCTCCCTGGGCAGCCTCTTCCAATGCTTGACAGCGCTTTCAGTGAATAATATTTTTCCTATTATCCAACTTAAACCTCCCCTGGCACAACTTGAGGCCATTTCCTGTCATCCTGTCAGTTGCTACTTGGGAGAAGAGACCACCTCCCACCTTGCTACAACCTCCTTCTAGGTAGTTGTAGAGGGGTGTTCTGTCATCCCAGTGCCATTAACGCTCTTGATTTGTGTCTGCAGTTAAGCTGCCTGGAGTAAGGACCTACATAGACCCCCATACCTACGAGGACCCTAATCAAGCTGTCCACGAGTTTGCTAAGGAAATTGAAGCTTCGTGCATAACCATTGAAAGAGTTATCGGAGCGGGTATGGAAATATGCTTCATGACCCTTAGCAGTATGGAGGGTTGGCTTTCTTAACACAGGGGATCTGGGAAGGGCCATGAAATATTTGTGCTGTTAGGTACCCTGAGAGTGCTGGGGAGCGTGTTCCATCTGAAGTTTGGGACAAACTTGTCATTGTCTGGAGATTTGATATTCAGAGACTGAACTGAAAATGGCAGAAAATGGTCGTGTTTGGACCAAGCTGAGTTATTTCAATGGATGCGAAGGGAAATGATTCACTTAAAATGGTGAAAAGAACCTGAAAATTAAGCTTTTTCTTCTCCCCCACTCATGTCTTAAAGCAAAAATCAAGAATTAAGAAGTCGTCTGGGAGAGAAAAAAAAAAAGCACAAACCAAAGTCCAAAGCTTTTAACTTCCTAGGTTAAAAGAAGAAACTCCCATTTTATTTCTAATTAAGCTGTTTGTTTGGCCTCACCTCCAACCTTAGGAATATTTTCTGTCCTCTGAAATTGTGGTTTTGGAGGTAATTTACTGTTCACCAGAAAAAAAACTAAAAAAGAAAATCCATTTGGGTTACTTTTTTAAAAAGGTGCTCATAAAATCGGAAAGGTTTTATAGTCTATAAAAATATATGTTGCTGTGAAAGGCTAACAGCATTCCATCTATGTAACTTACCAAAGGAAGGTTAAGAACCAAGTAGCTTGTGTTTTATAGCTATCTACACAGGGTGATGATAAAGGATGTGACAGGACTCTTTCATCTAGTAGACAAAAACACAAGGAAAAAGCCCAATAGAATATAGGGACATAGGTCCTTAAATATAGGAAAATTACTTTTTTCTTCCTAGTTTTCTTGTTCTTATGAATTACTTGGCTTGTGGTACGCTGGCTATTTGAGATGGTGATCATTGTGATGTTCAGCTTACCACATCCATGAACATAGGACAGCGCTGTGTGCTTGTGACCAGTGATCTGTAGGGGCTGGGCTGTTGATGTAGATGGATGTGTGCCACGTGTTCCTTGGACATGCTGTGATCCTGTTCTTTCTGATTTTTTTCTGAAGGTGAATTTGGGGAGGTCTGCAGTGGGCGGCTGAAGCTGCAGGGAAAGCGTGAGTTTCCAGTGGCTATCAAAACACTGAAGGTGGGCTACACAGAGAAACAGCGGCGAGATTTCTTGGGAGAAGCAAGCATCATGGGGCAGTTCGACCACCCCAACATCATCCACCTGGAAGGTGTCGTCACAAAAAGTAGGTACAAGTTACTGTGGACTGCGGTCCTTGGACTCTGGCTGGTGAGAGATGTGGTTAGGGGAGGAGGACTTGAGTGACTCTTGTCTTCACTGTGCCTTTCATAATTTCTCAAAAAGCAGCTAACTCCTCTTGCCCAAAATGTCACACCTTGTAGGTCCAGCCAGGAACAGGTTCCCCAACATTGTGAAGGGCATTTGTGCCTCAAGGATTTCATCATTTTTCCAGCTAAAGTAGACAGATAATGGCTAAAATGATAAAAAATGTTAAGTCTCTCTGCAAACCTTGCCTCACCTAGGCACAATACGCATGGGCTAAGAGAAAGCCCCTCTTTAAAGGCCCAGAATTAAATGAGACAGAAATAGGAAGTGATATGTCTGGCCAGCCTCAAACAGCATGTAGGTGATGGAGGCAGAGTAAGTCCGAATGCCAGTGGAGTGTGCTGCTGGACTTCTGCCCTGCACGTAGTTCAGCAGCACCTACTGCCTGCAGAATGCAAAAGCATTTTGAGCACGGAGATGCCAAGCCACCCACTAAGCTTTTCAAGCAGGCTCCCTTCTTATTCCTGCCCTTATTTGTTTAATTTTGAAACTCTGTGAGCCCAGGGTGAGCAAAGATGTGCCAAGAAGTGGGAAGCAATTTTCCTGGCAGGAAAACAGGAGGATTTTGCTACCAAGTCTGAAAAAAACAAGAAAGAAAAAAAAAAACAAAACAAAACAAACCAAAACCAAAACCAAAACAAAACAAAAACAAACAAACAAACAAAAAAAAACCCAGTGATTTCTAGCCATCATATTTTGAGAAATCATATTTTGAGAAACCACTGAATCAAAGCCCACAGGAGAGTGGTGCTGAGCCATGTGGTCCCTCACACAGGATGTGAGCAAGGACAGAAGTTAGCTGAAGTTTTGCATTCCAGAAGCAGGGAAGAAGAATGGGAGTGTAGCTGAAGATGACAGGGCCATGTAAAACCATGATTAAGGCAGGCTTCCTCTGGAATCTGCTAGTGATGACCATGGTAATACTTGCCCCTGGTGCTGGCATGTAGCTTATGGCTTGAGGGCTTGGGATAAATGTGAAAGGACTGGCAAAAAATCCCACCACAAGAGTTACTGAGGTTTGACTCCTCAGTTTGCAGAACAATCTTCCATAACTTTCCCAGACCAGTTTTTCTGCAAATCACTGTATGCACTAAAGATAAGGGCAGAGCAAGGGACAGCATATACAAATGTGCTCAGCACAAGCCTCTCCAGCTGTTAATGCTGTGCTCAGGCTGTGGGAAAGGTGCAAAGCTGTTGTTACTCTTCCATTTTGAAACCTTGGAGGATCTGCATTATTTGCATCAAGGAAATTTTTTTTTTTTTTTTCTTTTGTGGAAAACGACTATTCCTTTATTTTAAGATACATTTTAAAGTGTTTCAGGAAGTTTTTGCTAGCTGAAGAAGTACCAGCCTCATATGATCAGTCACGTCAGAGGTTACTACTCTTCAAATAGTGGTGTTTGGGGTCATGTCACTGCTGTTAGTACCATTAGTCATTTGTAAGAGGCCGCATCTCCAAAGTTATTTTTCAGAGCTGCAGTAGAGAAGGTACAGAGACACTAGCTGTCTGTCCTGTTCACATTCTTACAAACTAATCAAAATCAACACCATTTGCAATCAACAGCCTTTTCTTGCATTTTTCCTTAAAATTGCATTTCCAACCACTTTTAGGGAAAGGAAAAAAAAAAAATCAAGATAGGTTTCTCCCAAAATTGTGTAAATATCAAAATCTGTCAGGGTCACCTTGTGTAGCCCTTAATACATAAAAGCTTCCATTTCCAGCCCTACAGAGATGTGGGTTATTGGGCAGGAAGTGAGTGACGATTATACATCCATAAAAGCTGCTGCTGATACTCCCTTGAGTCTTTCTGGCTGCCAGGGCCTCAGGGTATGGGTGGAAATCCCACTTTTAGAGAGGATGTGCCTCTCTAGCAAGCTGCCTTTTATAGAAAGTGGATGTCTGCTCCAAAGGCTGTGGAAATGCTGGGAGCTTTGCTTCTCAATTGGACTTGGAGTGACTAGAGGTTGGGTACAGGGGGGGTACAAGCACCCTGCGTGTCTCATTAACTCAGTAAATGCTTGGTTACTGCACTCAAAATACTTTCCATCAGTCATCTGGAGTATCTTTCCAGCTTTTTTCTTTCCTTGTAAATGGATCAAAACAACCTTTATGAATCCCAACTATGTTACTGCCTCAGAGTATTAAGTTCTTTTTCCTTTTGGTGTTTTAGTTGTTGGCCCATCATAGGTACAGATCTTTAGGGTAAAATGTCTTTGCCGCATCACACTTTACTTTGGAAGTATATTAAGCTAAATTCAATTAGGCCATTTTTAATTCTGAATGAGAATATCCACGCAGGGGCTTAATACCATTTAACTAATCTAGTTCAAATGCACACCTTAGTTAATTTGGATTAATCATCTTCATTGTCCCCGCGCAGACAAGCCCTTGGCTATTTCTGCTTTACAAAGATAATGACAGCCTTGTTTTCATTCAGGTCCCGTTCAGTTGTGCTGATGGTGTGCACGTCACATTAGCACGTTGGTGTGAATGACATCTACTCACATTTTATGGCATCATAATGCCAGCAGGAGGAAGCCCCACTAACACAGAGAATTAGCACTGTGCTTTAGAAGGGCTGATGTTTATTTTTAATTTACTTTGTTGAAAGTCTGTCTATTTGTGTCTTTATTTCCACGTCCTTGGATATAAGGCTAATTATTTCATGATTACTGTCAACCTGCAGGAGTTAGATAATGAAACTTAAGTGCCAGAAATCTTATTTTCTTTTCTCAGATGGCAACCAAAGTCTGAAGGAGGTCCTCCAGGGTGGTGGCGTAATGAGACACCAGTCTCGCTGCGACGCTGCCTGGAAGCACCAGAGATAAGGGACACCATGCTACAGTCAGGGATTTAGTGTCTGAAAATGAAACATTTAAACAAAATTGAGATATACCTGGGGTTTTCCTTCCTTGTGTAGCCACTGACAAATTTGCCAACCTGTAGCAACGTCACCCAAGATCTCTGCTCCCTCCTGCATGCAGCCCATGTTGTGTGTAGAGAAACAGCTGTCATCCTTAAAGATGGGTCCCATTACTTTGTTTGGGAATCAACGATGTTTCTCATGCCTCTGAGGTGCATTTCTCCTATCAGAAGTAATACCTTGGGCAAGCTTTGCACTCAGGCAGTAGCTGTGATATTAACCAGAGAACTAAAGCAGGCTTGGTCCCTCTCACTGCTGAGGTACTACCTGCAGGACAAGGAGTGTTTTGATTGATAAGTCCACAATTACCTTTATTATGTAGATAATTAAGCAGTAAATTAGGTAAATAGTTGAGATAACAGGAAAGTGGGAAGAATAAGATCAATCTAAATAGTAAAACATGGACTGATTTTTAGGAGCATTTACCTTCATGCGCATGTTACGACATGTGGCAGCTCCTGTTGATCATTTCTATGAAAGACATTTATAATGCACTTTACAAATAATTGACAGCTCCTCTTTTGTCTGTGCTTCATGCTAGCTAATGGAAATTGATTTAAATAAAAAATAATTTACATGTTCTTGTAAGATTTCATTGAATTTACAAGGGCTGGAGCACAACACATTAATTATTGGTATGTCATTGTGGCAAGCTAGCGAGAAATTAGATATAAAACCTGAGAAAAAAATATATATAATTACCATTAAAATGACTCGGGCATGAAAATTAATCAAATGGATTTGGAAAAACATTATTATTCCTGTCAACAATAGGAGACCAGGTCTTTGGTTAAGAACTTTTATTTTGATTTCTGCTCACACTTATTCCATACTTAACTGGTTTTTGTTCTGCAGCATAAATATTCCTTTTCTTACTTCCATATGTGTTTACAAAGGTAGTCACATGAGATTACTTGAATTACAAGGGATGTAATCCCATCCTTTCCTGATATTGGTTTTAGTGGCTGCCAAGCTCAGATTGGTACTTCAGATCACACTCGCAGTCCTGTTGGTCTCCCGTTGTTACTTCAGAGGGTTGAAGCTCTAGGGAGGAGTCCAGAGAGGTTGCTGTGTACAGTTTGGCCTCTGCAAGCTTTCAGCTTGTCCACGGAGATGAGGAGAAGGTTGTGCATAGGTTACCTGGGTTCAGCTTGTAACCTCTTCCTCAAATGTCATCTAAACACTCTGGAGCTTGGCACCCCACCCATAGTAAGGAATTACTTTTTCACCCTCTCCTCCTTGGTTGCCCTATTTCTACGTATATTTTGGCAAAAAAAACCTATTGTCATCCTGCTGGGACAGCAGTGATTAGGTGTAGATTTACTGATACGTGGCTGTATATTCATATTCAGGTGAGCTGTGAAAAAGCTTTATTTGTGTTTTTTAAATAAATTGCTAACAAACTCATGCACTTCCCTTTTCAGGCAAACCAGTAATGATAGTGACTGAATATATGGAGAACGGGTCTCTGGATACATTTTTAAAGGTAATACTTCAATCCTTTTTTCAGGGGAACCTTAGTTAAAGATTGGGTTCTTCGCAGATGGTTAATATCAGTGAAAACGTTTGCTGGATGCTGGTCCAGCTGTTGATGCTGTCTGGAGGCAGAAGTAGCTCAGTTGTCTGTTTGATCTATATTTATACAGCATTATGAAGGACCTGGTGCATGCATTTATACAAACAGATAAGAATAAATTGGAGGATATTACGTTTATTTTAGAAAGCAATCTGCTACACAGAAATTATTAGCTTACCCTGCAAAATTTGATGTTTTCAAGAGCACATTTGCACTGTATCATGGCAAACTCCAGAGTTAGAGTTTTTCTGTTAAACGTTAGAACTAGAGCAGGGTTGGTAGGGGAAGTGATTAGAAATGTAGCCTGGCAACAGGGTGGAAGAGCCACTACCTCCAAATATTCACAAGTGGACCTCTGCAGGTAGGGTTTCCATGCAGCTTCGTGCCATTCGGTTGGCTGAGTCAGAGACAGCCCATCCCAGTGCCTTTATACACATAACTATGTGTTCGCTCCCCGTTGCAGTCTCTTTATCAGTCACCGGTGGAAAACAGCTCGCTTCTTGATCTCCAGTTAAAAGAACTACACTTCCTTAGCTTTGTCTCTAGAGATCCTAATCCAAACAGTGAAACTTTGAAAAGCTTCGTGGTCAGAGCGTGAGGGTAATGAATTATTAATTTCCCTGCTTTCCTTCCCCAGAGACTTGCCTTTGCGTTTTTATTCATGCCCACGCAATGCTGAGGGTGCAGAGACTCTCCTCTGATCAAACGTCTCCTTCCTTTTGCAGAAGAACGATGGGCAGTTCACGGTCATTCAGCTGGTCGGGATGCTGCGAGGCATCGCATCGGGAATGAAGTACCTGTCTGACATGGGCTACGTACACAGGGACCTGGCCGCCAGGAATATCCTCATAAACAGCAATTTAGTCTGCAAGGTGTCAGACTTCGGCCTCTCCAGAGTCCTAGAAGATGACCCCGAAGCTGCCTACACAACCAGGGTGAGTTATGAGGATGCTGAACTGATTGAGCTCATGAAAAATGTATGCCGTGCCACGTTTTGGTGTTCAGGCTCTCTAGCAAAGAGGTTTCAGCAAATCCAGAGCCTCTAAACTGTGCACGAGGGTTTGGGGAGTTGTTATCAGTTCATCGCTATCAGATTGATTTGGAAAATGCCTGTAACTTTATACTGGGGATGGCCAAATAAGGCAGAACTTAACTAATAACTTTAAAGTTCACGTCAGACACCCGAGCCAAATAGCAAACTTTGCAAAGGTGCCATGCTCCCAGCTCTGTTCTGTCCTATACCAAAAGGAGGAAAGAGAAAGGAGCAAGTTCTTTGCTTAGGCACCCATGCAGAGATGTAAGCCATGGTCTTCTGGACAATCCGACCATTTCAAACCATTGGTGAGCTCATAATGCCCATTGAAGTTGATGCACATTGCCCGCAACATTACCCCGTTGAGGGTGGTTTCCCCAGGTCTGAGAAAGAGCTGCTCTAGCATGAGCACTCTGCCCCTTTTCATCCTTTCAGGGCATCAACCCTGTGCCAGGCTGTGTGGCCCCAGTGCTGCAGAGAGAGGGTGGGCAGGATCCATCCTCAGCAGCACCAGCTTGGAGAGAGCCTCCAATATTCATGGCAGTGATTGGCATGCGTGGACGCTTCCTATTAGCGTGTTTTTCCAAGGGTATTGTTTCACAAGTGGTGGGAGCTCTCTGGGTCACGTTCCCAGTTCCTGTGGAGACCTGGGAAAGGCCTTTCAGCTCTTGGCAGCCACGGCCCCATGACGGGGCTCGGTGCACGGCTGGACCAGAGCCTCCCTGCAGGCTGGAGAGCTCTCAGCCAGCCCTGCTGTGGCTGCAACGTGCTGCCATGTGCTAATTGGCACTGCTGAGAATCTGGCCCCTCACTTAAGGCATGCACTGATAAGCCTGTGAATAAATAATTACTAGGAGAAGGGACTTTTTAAAATTTCCTTTGAAAACATGTTCCAAATTCTGCCATTTTCCAATAACAAACACTACTAGGGGGCATTCAGGGAGACCTTCCAATATTTAGCTCAACAGTGAGAGGAAGGGACTTCACAGTAAAATTTATTTTGATATAAATCAAGGGAGACAACTCTTTAAACCCAGTGAGAAAAGATTCTTTAATCCAAACTCCCCTTTCCCTCCCCTCATCTTTCTCAGAACTGGTCTGAAGTTTGATTTCTAAAATGGTAGAAAGGGGAAAAGGAAACAGCAAAGCACATTTGACAGCTGTGGCATCATTTTCAGTCCCACAGCAGAGGCCAAGCAGGATGATCTTCGCACACACAAATTTCAGTGCTTGCTATGCAGTTCTCTCTGCAGGATCGGGACCACATTAAAAAAAGAGAAAGAAAGAAAAGAAAGAAAAAAAGGGCATTACTTCCGCAGCAATTTGCATGAAACCCTCATTAGATCAAAGTCTTCCACGGTTTCAGAGCTGTCTGTTCCTCCCCTGCTCGCTCTCAGAAACGGAGGAACTGTATTCCCCTACCAACCCGTGCAACATAATTGAGATGTTGATCCTATACATGTCCCAGCATTCAAACAGCATTCAAACAACAAACCTTCAGGACAGCCAATTAGTAGGCAGCCTACAAATGCTTATGGGCTGAGATAATGTGGAAAGGGGCCCCATGCTGTCAAACAGATTTACTTTAAAATTCGATGTCTCTTTCCAGAGAGAAAATAACATCCCTCGGTGCTCTAAGAAATGCTGTTTCGTCCTCTTTTGCATGTTCTCTGCCCTCCTCTGCAATCTGGTTTTGGGTTTGTTTTTTTTTCCCCCCCATCATCTTTTCCCTCTAGGGAGGGAAGATCCCCATCCGATGGACAGCGCCTGAAGCGATCGCCTTCCGCAAGTTCACGTCGGCCAGCGACGTCTGGAGCTACGGCATCGTGATGTGGGAGGTGATGTCCTACGGCGAGAGGCCTTACTGGGAGATGACAAACCAAGACGTAAGCATGTGCGAGAGCTGCCGCGCGGTGGGACTTAGAGGGCTCAGCATTCATTCTGCAGGCAGAGAGGCAGAATGGGGACAAGGGGAGGAGAGCCGTTGTAGAAATGGCTTGGATCCCCCATGCCAGAGGGTGATGATCCTCTGTTTGGTGCTCTGGGGTTTTTTTTGCTGCAGCAGCAACCCAGAACAGGCTGTGTGCAGAGGAAAATGTGTCTGCACAGAGGCAAGCCTGCATCCCCCAGCAGACCACTGGAGCTTCACTAATGCTGTTAGAGCTGGAGCCTGTTCCTCTGCTGCTTAATGACAAAGGTCTGCCAGGGGATAGATGCTGATAAACTGGCAGCATTTCAACTGTGTGTTCAAACCCCTGCTGCCACATAAAGCAGAAACTCTAGAGAGTCATCGTAAGAGCTTTGTTTTCCCTGCACAAAAGCCTGGTGATTTGATCTAGTGACAGCAGTCCAGAGAGCTGCACGTTGGTTGCCCTTGTGTTGCTGATCTCAAGAGCATACTTGTGCTCCTGGTGTGAACATCTTGTAAGGCTGTGCTAACACAAGTTCTTATGGTTCTTTTGTACAGTACCCTTTAAGTTGTGTCCCCTTGTTTCTGGGCCCAAGTGTCCCCTTGAGCCTCTGACCCCAAGGCCACCCTCTGAAACATCTCCAAACTGTCTCACTCCTGATCGCAGCTCTGATCCCAGCCTGTATCAGGACTGCTTGATCCTACTGCAGGGCTACCTCCTAGCCTGAGCTTACCATAAACATCCATCATTGTCTGAGGTGAAAAACCTTAAGCCTGGGTGCCAGATTTTCTAGGCCACTCCTTCCTCTTCACTGAGAACCATGACATGTGGAGGTATCCAAGTCTGCCAGCTAGTTAACGATGTTGGGGTGACCATGAGACACTTGGGGCTCCCAAAGCGGCTTTGCGTGTGGCAGTCATCCCCCTTCCCTCCCAGTTCCTGCTGCCTGCAGAGGTGCTGCTGCCTGCTGGGCAAAACAAGCAGGTCCTTGCTCCGCCATGGATTTCCTCTGATCACAACACCTGAAGTTTGAGTCCTTTTTCTTCTTTGAGCAGTGTCCCTGTCCCCATGACTTTCTGCCATTTCTCTGAGCATTCTGTTTCTGCTGTGCTTTGTCTGCGGGCCCTTGCCACCAGTGGATGTTACTACCTGTCACACCAAGCTGCTGCCTCACCTCACTTCGAGTCCAGGCGTGGAAAGGAGCGCTACCTTTGAGGCCATCACACCATGCTTCTTGCCAGGGAGACGAGCGCGTTGTTTGGTTGAATGCTCCACTGCTTCTGCATTGCTGAGGCTGTCACGTTGCAGGGAGCTGGGTAAAGCAGCATGTATCTGCTCAGGGATTTATCTCAATCAAATACAGAGACTTTCTTCCGTAGCCTTGCAGAGAATGCAGCAATTGAGAGCCAAGCTTTTCCAGTCACACTGAGCACTGTAACTATCTTTAATGCTGATGCAGTGGCATAGCACAGATGTTTTTCAGTAAATGCTAGGCTAACATTCAGGCTGGTGCCAGTGAAATAACGCTCCATGGCCAGGGAAGTCCCTTGTCTGGGTCGTAACGGTATGAACATCCACGCTTTGCAGAACTGTTCCAAAAAGCCCCAAAGCCTCCGTGCACTGTGGGGCATGGTGAATTTCACACTTTCCTGAGAAGGAGTGGATGGGGGACTTGTTTCTTTAGCAGCAGAAAGCAGAGGACTAGCGAATGGTTTATTAGCATCAGTTCCTTGCTCAGGCTTTACTTAGGTTACTTCTCTGCCTGGGTGCAGCTGGCAAGTGCCTGGATGGTGGTGGCCTGTGAAAATTAATTCAGTGCTGTGGCATGTATCTACTATGATTTATGCCTTTTTCCTTCATCTTCTGAAGGCTTCCTCTTCTTTCCTCCCCTGCTTGTGTTGGCAGAAGAATCAGCAGTGTTAGCTACAGCATTGGATTTTGCGTGGAGAACCAGAGGGCTCTGCTCACATGAGTTTCTTAGAATCATAGAATTGTTTTTGTTGGAAGACACCATTAAGATCATCAAGCCCAGCCATTAACCCAGCGCTGCCAGGTCAGCACTAAACCATGTCCCTCAGCGCCACATCTACATGTCTTTTAAATACCTCCAGGGATAGTGACTCAACCTCTTCCCTGGGCAGCCTGTTCCAGGGCTTTACAACTTTTGTTGAAAAAATTTTTCCTAATATCTAATCTAAACCTCCCCTGGTGCAAATTGAAGCTAATTCCTCTTGTTCTATTGCTTGTTACATGGGAGAAGAGACTGACCCCCATCTCGCTACAGCCTCCTTTCAGATACTTGTAGAGTGTGATAAGGTCTCCCCTGAGCCTGCTTTTCTCCAGGCTAAACAACCCCCCAGTTCCCTCAGCCACTAGTCGTAAGACTTGTGCTCTAGACCTTTGAATTTCAGACTCTGTTGCACGAGAGGTTTTTTTTTTTGTTGCATGGTTTGTAATTAAAGCACATCATTTGCAAGCACAGTTGGTGATGAGCAAAATGATTCTCATCACGTTACAGCCGGATTGCTTTAAAGGAAGCGCAGCGCCCTAGGGCAGGCGGCATTGTCACTGCAAAGGCTACAAACCACATTTTAAAGTCGTGCTGGTTTCTGGATGGCCTTCTAAAAATATTCTTTGACTCAACCACAAGATAACGCTTCGATGCAGGAATTGTTGAGAGGAATTTTGTGGCTTGTGTTACGCAGGTTGCTGAGCTGTAGTTGCTTTTTAGTCTTCAGGCTGGTGGTTTTGTGGAAGCACAGAGCTAAAAGCATTGCTTCGGTTTACTGGAATGGACTATCCCAAATTGTCCTCTCCCAAACATCCAGTCCAGTCATCCCAATCCATAAATGAGTTGTGCTTGTCCAGAAGAGGATCAAGGACAAAAATGCCTCCTTATAGATCCAAATTTTATCTCTTCAAGTCTTAAAAAGCAGCACACACCAATGAATGGCACAGCGAACCTGCCATCTTCTTATTTTTTTAAGTATTGTGGTGGCTACAAATGACTTGGTCTTTGTTGTTTCGTTCTTTTGCTCCTCCTACTGCCAGACCTCCAAGGCACCTTCAGATGCAAGAGTGTATTCCAGCATCCTAGCTCCTCGCAGCGTTTTGATATCATTTACATTGTATCACCAGAACAAACGACATCCTGTAAATTGAGTTAACGCTATTGATTGTGACGTTACTGCCAGGAATATCAAACATGCATAACCCCACTGCAGATGTTTAGCTCAGATATTCTGAGCTGGTGCCAGATGGTCTGCTCCCTGTCTTGCTACTATTTTCTTTCTGCTACAGTGGGAGGATGATCCTTTATTGTTATAAATACAGACGTGGACATAGCAAATAATGTTCTCGTGGCTGTGCCACACTGAGGCTTTTTTATAGGGCAGCTGCAGATATGATATTGAGGACCAGCTGAAAAGCGTAACGTGAGGAACAGGCAGTGCAGATAGCGTAGTGTGGTGGGGATGGTTTTCGGTCCAGTCATAGACGAGATTGTTTTGCAAGTGCAGGTTGGGTGGAGAGCAGTGCAACTGCTCCACTGGTAGGTGAAATTGTAGATGGGTGCAAAAAGAGTGCAGGTCTTGCGGGCTGGGTCTTCAGACTTCTTTGCTGCCCTTGGAGAAGATTACAAAGCCTCGCCTAACTTCTCTACTACGTACATCCTCAGGGTGTTTGAGGTTACTGCTACTGCTGCTCAGCCAGCCTGGCTCATTCCTGTGACTCTTCCACTTGGCTAAAAGCCCTGTGGTGGAGGACAATTTGACAGAGATCTATGCAGTCCTGCATTTTGGAGCCTTCTGAAATGCAATGCCAGCCTGATGCAGCTCTTCCTCTACTGTTCACACAGGGACTAAAGATCAAGAAAACAACTTCCATGTTAACCACAGAGCCTTCTTTTTAAACATAGGATGTTTTCAAATCATGAGCTGATGCCTAGAATGAATGGCATCTGAGGCAGTCCTTGGTCGAAGTGCTGTGGTTTTCCAAATAGCAAATAGCTGCTTCCAGCCCCTTTTGGACAAGGAGTCTTGGGAGCAGAGGGTGTGAAGATGGGCTGCTGGGACTCTCTTGGCTTAGACACAGACACTTGTGGCTTGAAACTGAAGCTGCGTTCTCCTGAAAATTGTAATGATTCAAAATGGGAACTGCTGGACTTGGAGCCCTGCTGTAAATCTGCCCCAAACTGGGGAAAACAAGTTGCTTTCTTCCATTCTGCCCTTATTTATTCATTTCTGCCTTTCAAGAGGGCAGGCAGCACATGTGCATACCACTTGTTTTAGATATAGAGCCATAGAAGGCTTGTATTTGAAATCACTGCAGCAACCCTCCCCTGGTTTTAATTTACATACTCTTGGGCTGACATTTTAAATTCCTGGCAGAAGTGTGGCCACAGTAAGAAATGACTAGACCCAGACAGTATTGAATGATATATGAGATGGTTGTTCTGCCTCTGCCTTGAATCCATCCATCAATTAGCATTCAAAGTCTCTTTTGAAATACAGTCAGACTTTTATTACTGTAATACAAATTTGTGGTCTAGCACATGCCTTTTCATTTAAAAAGAAGCCAACATCTGAATAAACAAAATCACTGCACTCCAAGAAGATGCCAGAAAGCCCTGTAGGCTGCTTTTCGTGGACTTAGGGTAGGCGCTGGGAGTTTCCTAGTATATAACCTACAGACCTCAGCTGAGCTTTGAACAAGTGCAACCTGGCAGCCTGGCCCCCTGGTTGCAGCAGTGCCTTGGCTTTTCTAGATTCCTTTGGCAGTGACCAAAAATGAAGTTATTCAACCCATCCCATAGAAAATGTGAAAGATAATGGGATTTACTGGATTTCCCTCTTGTGTGCAGAGTTGAGGGGCGGTGGGATTTTATACAAGCATATGCTGGTCCAAAGGTTCTCTGTTTAAAGTCACATGGCATTTGGGAAGAAGGTGAGAGGAAGGGAAAGCAACCCCTCAGCCTCGTGTTTTGTCTCCCGTAGGTGATTAAAGCTGTGGAGGAAGGCTATCGCCTGCCAAGTCCCATGGACTGCCCTGCTGCTCTCTACCAGCTAATGCTTGACTGCTGGCAGAAAGACCGCAACAGCAGGCCCAAGTTTGACGAAATTGTCAGCATGTTGGACAAGCTCATCCGTAACCCAAGCAGCTTGAAGACATTGGTTAATGCATCGAGCAGGTACAAACTCGGGCCGGAGCCATTTCTCAGAGAGAGATCCTTGTCTGAATACCCGTCCCTGGGGTTGAACTACCACTTATTATTTAGCCTGCGTGCATCCGTGGGTGGATGTTCCTCCAGCTTCATTATGTCCAGGGGAGTTTTCCCAAATCAACTTTTTCTGTTGAAGTTGGCAGGCAGGGGAGCAATTCAGTTACTCTATAAATGCAATGCTGCTGCCACAAAGAAAATTACCGTGGCCTGTCTTTCAGAAATGGGAGTTTGGGCTCTATTTATAGGTCTATGATAAAGATACCTGTGCTCTACCCCAAGGTTAGACAGGGCAAGACTTGAGTGCATGAAGGAGATAGTAAATGCTGCTCAAATTATCTGCCTGTTGACTTTATCTTGGTAAGATCTCTTGGGGAAGCTCTTAGGATGTGCAAAGCTCACGGATGTCCAAGCGCATCCTCCCACAACTACTCCCAGGCGTGCTATCCGCCACCACCAGTTCTGGCAGTCTTGGTAACGGCGAGAGGATCTCTGTGGTTCCCAAAAAGCTGTGCACAAACCATTTGCGAAAACCACATCAAGTGAACAGAGCAGCCAGTATGCAATTAAACATCAATCTGAATAGCTACATGGCTAAAAGAAAGGTAAATACAGTCAAGAAATAAAGCTGCATGTGTGGAAAAAGAGATTAATATTTTTTTAGTAAGTTTTAGCATTGGGGTCTCCATGATTCTGGAGTCTTGGAGAGGTTTTTTTCTTTCTTCATTGTAAGCACACAAGCATTACTTCTGAGCCATCTGTTGCTAATCACTCAGTCCCTTGCAAGGTCATGCAGGAGTGATGAATATAAATCATTGCTGCTTCACTGATGGCAGTGGAGTTCCCCTGATTAACACTGGAAGAGGCCCTTCAGAAAAGCTTATTCTCAGAGGAGATTAAAAAACAAAATCATTTTCCTTGGACAGGAATGAGAGGGATATAAGATGAAGTTAGACTGGTGCTGTGGACCAAAGCAGATGTACTGTTGTGAGCTTAGACCCGTCTTGTCTCCACACCTTCTGAGTCTTGCACAGCAGTACAGGGCCCATTTCACCTGTTGCAGCTGGACCTCACATCCCCATGCTGGCAGGTCCCCACACATGGCATCTCACACACTGGAAGAGAAGAAACATGAAATCTCTGTGAATTTTTCAATACAAGATCGATCTGATTCCTTAGGCTATTTTACATGCATCATTTACCATCTGAAGAAGAAATTCCTCTTATTAGCAATTAGATGTAATATCAGTCCCAGCAAACCTGCAGGAAAAGGTTTATGATAACGTAACGTGTATGATGTTTCTCTTTTATTTTCAGTTCAGAACAATAATTTTCCAGGCATCCTATGCAGTGGTTCATGCACTATTTTGTACCAAACTGTTAGGCCAGAAAAGAGGACAATATGTGCAAACCATTTCCTTGAGCTGCTAAGAACCTTGCTGCTGTTTTATTCCATGAACAGGTCCATGCAATTTCAAACCTCTCCTTTTCAGAGCTGCTGTGAGTATTTTTGATGTGGATGGAGCACGTGAGCAGCCAGGCTTTGGGACTGTGTTTCTATAATCATAGATTGCCATGCCCAGACCATAGTAATTCCAAATGAATCATAATTTCAACATACAGCAGCTGTAAAGGATTTTTTAATATATGTAATGTATTCTTTATGGAAATTCTCATTAATGCAAATAAGGGAGAAAGTCACTCTCTACATTACAGCGTGTGCATATCAGTAGGTACCTCCTGACATTAGTGATGAAAATCGACTTCTCATTATGATTACTTGGGAGTTTTGAATTCCTCATGTGTATAAAATGTTATGGGAAGTCATTATGTTCTTGGTACTGCAAGTATTCACATTTTATTGGACCTTTCAGCATTGCTATTAAATAAACAAATAATACTAATGTGCTCATAAAATATATGAAGATTCCTGAGGTGCTATAATAATATAATATCCCAGCTCTCCATCCAGTTCAAAGTCTTTTAAGTGTAATTCTCACCGTCAGAGGCTGACCCAGAAAACAGTTTTTTTTTATCTGTGGGTAATAATCTTCATGCAAGACTCATGTTAGCTGTATGTCCTAGTTTACAAAGCAGGGAACAAATCGAGTTTCTTCCCTGGCTGACCTTGGACGAGCCCTCTTTGCTCTCTGCACATCATTAGTGGGGTGGTGGACCGGTACGCAGCACGGGTCGCTCGTGCCAGGTACTGTGGTGGTGTTTCTGCTGCAGTGAAGCGTTACTATTTTCCTGCATTGCTGCTCCCGTGCGTGGCATCACTGAGCAGGTGGCAACTGCAGCGGTGAGGTCTTGAGCAAGGGTGTGGGAGCAGGAGCCCACCTCTGGTCTCAGGGCTGGAGCGTGGTTGGAGCATTGCTGCTCTCTGCAGGGCTTGCCTGATGCTGCCGGCACCCGAAATCCCCACCCCGACTCCGTGGGAGCAGCTCCTGAAGTGTTAACAGCAGCCTGCCATTGATGGCTGCTACTGGGAAATGTAATTTGGGTTTCAGCTTCCAGACACGGGAAGCTGTCTTAAGTTAATTATCAGCTTTAATCGAGGAGGAGGAAAATGGAATGAGAGGAGTGAAACCAAAGACTTTGAAGTAAGAATGGTAGAAGAGGAGGCTGCTCGTTGGGCCAGAGGTAATGGGGATGGGTGCTTGCACTCTCCTCCTCTTTCTGCGTGCAGCGAGGACCAGGAATAGCAGGAACTAGCTCAAAAGTGGGTGAAGTTATAGGTGAAGTGGTATGTTTAATACATTGCATGTCAAGCCTGCTACAGAGATTTAGGCTGCCCTAGTTACTGAAGACACAACAAAAGAGTCATCTTTACCATCTAAAAGTGTGAGTGACATTGGGTCCATCTTGATACTGATTCTGTTTGCTCTCTGTTTTTTCTTGTCTTTAGAGTATCAAATCTGTTGGTAGAACACAGTCCCGTTGGGAGCAGTGCCTACAGGTCAGTGGGTGAGTGGCTGGAAGCCATCAAAATGGGACGATACACGGAGATCTTCATGGAGAATGGATACAGTTCAATGGATGCTGTGGCTCAGGTGACCCTAGAGTGAGTAGTGCCCAGATCACTTTCACTTCATTTGCTGGAATTGCAGAGTGGGGAAAGGCAAACCATCCAAAAATACATAGGGATGAGGCTGCAGACAGGGAAGCCAGTACCCTGTTTTTGCAGTCAACAGTTTCTCTTTTACAATCTGTATTGATGATAACAAGTGCAGGCCAGACTAAAACTGATGGCCGCTACAGTGACAGCAGGTACTTTGGCTCCTTCACTCATAGAAATTAATGTTTGAATATGAATAATTGCCAGGCCATCCTCTTTGCATAATAGCAGTTGATTATTTGGGGTTACCAACAAACACAAAACCTCCACCTACTAGTAAATGCTTAGAAGCTAGAGTCCCTGCTGAGGTATACCAACTTTACACCAGATTAGCTGGTTTCACAGTTGATCTGGACATAACCAAATGGACAGTCAAGCCCAGTAAGGTGTGGAAATAGTGGTCAACATTAACAGAAAGAGGCATAAATAAAGCTGATGCATCAGAGAACCCACAGCTCTAGGGTACAGGCTCCCTGGCCAAGACTCTTCCTTCTGAATGTGCCCTTGGTTTTTGCACATGGATATGACTGCAGTTGGGGTGATATCACTCAAATGACTTGGTAAATGCCTTGGGGCTGCTGATTTGTTATGCTCCACCTTTAATTGCCTGCCTCGCTTTTGTAATGGCATCTGCACTTTCCTCCTTACTCAAACTCGCCCTAAGCCTTCCTTTCTAGGTGTGTTAATCTGAGCTTAGTTTACTGCAGGCATTAAGGCAGAATGGGAAGGATTATGCTCCGTGCTTCTTTGGAGAAGGCTGTGGTTCCTCTGACCCCATGCAGACTGTCAGTGCACAGAGAGAATTGGTAATGAGGATTAGGAGCAAAGCACGAAAAGTCCCCCATGTCCCACAGAACCACAGCACTTCTCCTATCTGTCACAGGGCTTGCTGTGCAGCTCACTCTACAGGGTAGGAGGTCCTTTGTGTGTGATGCAGGTCAGTTACATCTCCATGGAGTTCAGTTTTGCATTACATGCATGGAGGGAGTGTAGGAGCATATCTGCTTTCAGATGTTATTTGCTCCACTCACATCACCAATATTTGTCCCTTACACCTGAACTCATCCAACCTGTCTTCAGGCATTCATGTGAAAACCCTGAGCTAGGGATTGAATCTTCTCTAGCAACTGGCTAGAGAGTCAGGGTGCATGGATTTCTACCTAGATCCTTTTTTCGTGTGCCTGAGACTCTTTCATGAAGTTTCCCAGCCTAGTCCTGCAATTAAGTGCCATGTTAATTTGGCTTTTGAGGACTCCATGATTCCCTAGCTACGTATCTGACATGGCAGTGCCCAAAACCAGCAGGCTTTGGGGCTTCTTTTAGACTAGTGGCCTACAAACGCTGATCAAGGAAAAGGTTCATCCCCAGGGTGGTCAGAGTTGACGTAGCAGAAAGACCTAGCCAGAGGGCAAGGAGGAAGAAGGATAGGATGAGGTAGTAATTTATGACAAAATGAAAATTTTGGAGCATTCACCTCTACTGTGACACCTCAATCTTATAGCCAGAGCAAGTTCTGGTAGAAAGTGCAAATTGTCTAAAATATATCACAGACTTGTTGCTGTTTGGCTGAATTAATCATATCAAAGAGGAAAAGTAGGTTTCACAAAAGCTTCTGTTTTTTTGTTCTTTAGAATTTTATGCAAGTTTAAGAGCTGTAAAAGAAGTGTTCAGAACTGAAATGCTTTGCTTTGGGTCAGAGAAAAACGTTGAGTTTGAACCAAAGTGAATGGTCATTTTTGAGAGTAAATTAAAAGTTCATTTACTCAGGAACCTTTAAATAGTCTTAGCATCTATCTGTGCTGACACAGTCTTAACATCCCATCTCATGACAAAACTCCAGTTTTCTTGAGTGCGACATTTCAGATTGTGAAATTATCTCCTTAATTTGGCTTAAAAATTTAAATACTTCCTTATATTTACTCTGTGATATTCCAGAAATTTCAAAAGTATCCCCCAAAATCTTTTCAGGCTACCCAAAAAGTACTTCAGAATGATTTTTCTTATTGGCAGTGAACCAAGAAATCCATTATCTCTACAGTTCTAGCCAGAAAGGCAAGTTGGTTTAAGAATCTTTAAATAAGCTTATACCTGCCAGAGATGCTCTGACCCACTCTAGCTGCAAACGGCCTCTAAGGCCCCTTCCACAAGATCCCAGCATGTTCTGGATAGCAGAGATGTCATCCTACTCTGGTCCTTTACTGGCCCCAGTGGAGACAACATGTCTGAGCTGCTCAGCTTCAGCTTTCTTCCAAGCTTTTGCACCAGTGCAGAGAGACTTGTGCCTGGGAGCCTGGGGGGAGCTTCTGGGTTTTATTTTGGGTTATTTTTAGGCTGAAAGATGTTTTGTGAATCCATCTTGATCTGAAATCAGTTGAAACTGAAAAAAAAAGGTTGAAAATAACTCCAGCTAGTTAGTTATCCATGACAGTAAATAAATTCCCCCCTGGCTGCCTTGGACAGAGATGCTTGCATGAGTCAGGCTTCATCCTTGAATGGCTCAGACCACGCACCTTAGCATGGCAGTGCTGGCTTAGCAAGAAGGCTTGACCCCATTTGGGTCTATTTTTGGGAGAACTGTGGAAGGTTCATTAAAAAGCCAACTAACCATCCAAATCAAGACTTGGTTCTCATCCCTCTCCGATACAGTAAAAGAAGACAAAAGACCAGATTCTCGTCTGATAAAAGAGGAAAAATCATCATAGTGGCTTAAGAGGAAAGGTGTCCTTTGTTGAAGACCTGAACCATGTGCCCAGGCTGATGTAAACTGTCAGATTGCCCTTAAAATCAACAAAGTAAGGGAGAGAAATGGCTCCTGGGTAGGCTCAGCTGAGACTCTCATGGGTTCTCCAGAAAATAAACACCATAACAAGCAAAGTTCTTTGAACGTTAACATATTTGGGGTTTTGGTTTTCTGGAGATTTTAATTTTTGTCACCTCGTAAAAGGGGATAACAAAACATTTTGTACTCTGCAAAGGAGAATTCAGATTAAATGTTCATTGTCATTTTTAATCGAGGCAACTGTTCAGTATATTCCAGAGCTGGGACTTGGGGGGATCAGGTGAAAAGATAATCTGAACATCTGAAAGTAGCTTGCTTTCCTCAAATGATATCTGTAGAACATTCTTTACAATTTAAGAGGTTGCCTTCAAATACCATCCAAAATCATCTTAACCGGATTCAAACTCTGTAGGAGACAGATGTGGAAATAGATGGAGAAAGGAGAAATGGATAATTGCTGCCAGAAAAGGCAAGGGAAAAAAAAAAAATATAAATAACTCCTAAGATCTACTGAAAAAAAAAGTTAGTAGCACTGTAGGAGGGGTTGGCCATAATGCTGACCAGATGGGGGACTATGGGCACCCAACTTGTGGTGTTTTTACAGGACCTGGTTGAAATGGTAGAAGTTCAGAATTTTTTTTTTTTAAAACCCCACCCTCACCCCCAGGCATGCAAAGCAAAATCTCAGTTACTGTCCTGCTTCTTTCAAATGGATGGCTTGATGCATTTATTCCAGAAAAGAGTAGTAGTAGTGAAAATTTCTGAAAGAAAAAGATTAAAAAGCTAAAACCAGTGAATATCACCCCAAGTCCTGAGCTCTGCCTACTTAAGCAAAGACCTGAAAATGTATGTGTTCAAAGAGTGATTTCTACATTTAGCTCTAATTCTTGCAAAGGGATGAATCACCTTGTGAAAAGTGGAGCCTCACCCTCCACCCCCTCTTTCCAACTGGATATCAGACTTGAAGGCTACCTTTCCAGTGGACCAGACCTGCTCTTTAAACTTGTGGACCACCTAATGACTTTGAGTGTGTCTGGAGCTCTTTCAATCCACTGCAAGAATAACTTTACCAGGACAATACTCAAGAATAGATAGATCCATGACATGAGTTTCAGTCTGACCCTTGACTGGACCAATTACTACTTACCATGTGGACTACATACTTCCACCCTTTGAAAGATCTGTACTCACTGAATCTCAGGACACTCTGATGTTTGTTATTAGATGAAGAGCTCTGAATATTTGTAATAATATGTGCTGTGTTGCTTTGCGTTGTATATATTTTTCTTCTAAAATAAAATAAGTTATTTATTAAAAGTTATATTTGATGAAGAGTATTTAAGAGTTCACCTGCTCTAGATGCTTATTCTTAACCTGAAATCTCGGTCCTAAGATTGTGATATTACATCGGCTTCTGAACAAATCAATTCTCATCCCCTAATCATGTAGGACAGGAATAACGAGTAAGAGCAGATGAACTCTTAAAAAAAAAATAAATTGGTTTTTAAGTCCTTGTTTCATGCAAAAGTCCCTAGCAAGTGGATTCCTCTAGCGTCTTCTGAAAGTCTTTGAGGTTATTCTTCTTTCCCCTTATTCAAACTGCCAACTAACTCCATGAGTAGTCTCAGTCTGCATGGGCAATTGTAGAGTTACACCACATGAAGAAGAGTGGTGAGATCTGGTCTGGATGGGAGATGAAATGCAGAATATCTGTGGTAGCTTGATGGCTGCTGGCCATGGAGGTCTTTCAGGAACTTGGCCCTTTTGCTTGCATGACTAACCAGTTGGTGAGGGGACTTTGTATTTTATGTGGCAACCCAGTCCTAGTCTACACTGTGTTTGACAAATTGGTCCATGGTGTGTAAGTAGTTCTGTTTGTAAATAAAATGTTTTAAATATATTTCTTACAATGTGGAGACCATGAATTTGAGCCTTGCAAATGGAGGATATCGCAGGGAAGGGGATACCATGTTGTCCCTGGTGTGTCACAGCTGGGCTTTCATGCAAGGTGGTTGTAAGAGAGCAGAATGCATGTAGCTGTATACAGGCTGGTTTGGATGAGCCGACACAAATTTTCCTCTTTATTTCCTTGGCTTTTTGGTCAACTTAGGTCAGCCTCTTAGTTCTGTGTTGGCAAGTGGTTAAACTTCCTGCCCGTTTCCATTTGCAGCCTTATCTGAATGAAAGAGAAGTGAAAAGGGGTGATTTCTCCCTAAAAGAATAAAAGTTCTCTTATTGCTGTGGGGTGGTCAAGTATTTTGAAGCAGGGAGACCCCACAGCACACAGGAGCACGTACCTCCACGGCCTTGGGGAGCATCTGTGCTGCAGCCACGCAAAACCCAACACCGGAGGTCGGGTCACTTGCACAGCAAGGTGCAGCCTGGATCCTGATCCCAAAGTGTCATTTGCTGCTGGGTTGTAGTTGTGTCTTTTCTTTCAGGGAATTACAAATCTCTTTTTTTTTTTTTTAATTTGCAATTTCTGCTGCAAAGCCCCAGCAGATACCCACACACATCGCTGCAGAGCTGAGCCCAGTGAAATGACCAGTTGGCTGCGGTAACGTGAGCCAGGCAACTCTGGACTGGAGCTTGTCAACAGTTGTTTTGCAGTCTTTTGGCACAGAAGGTGATATTTTGTGCCTAAACCAGCTGGTTTGAGCACCCGATTTTGTTGAAAATTGGCTCCTGCCATACGCCGTTTGAAGTCCTCCTAGCGCTGGATTCACGGGAGCGTGCAGCATGCTGCAAGTCACGCTTGAAAAATGGGAACTAAAGCCCCTGCCTTCTCTGGGTGGTTTTTGGAAAGTTTCGTTGCTGGCTTTGCAACGCACAGGGTGGCTTTTGAATAAACCTGCTGGTTTTATACTAGGTGAGCATCTGGCTCAGGAGCTGTTGTCTTCTGGTCCATCTTTGAAGGTGAAAGAGCCCACGGTAGCTTTTTTCCCCTCTCTGAGGAGTCTCCATGCTTTTGGCCAGTGGCTCCACATTCAAAAGGATTTGATATTCAAACAAAATAGACAGGAACCCCTGGTGAGCAGCTAATGGATTGAAACCAGAAACTCCTTTTTCTTCTTTCTCTCTTGTAAATCAATGAGGCGCTCCTCAAGGATATTGAGTTAAGGGTATACTTCAAGGGAAAAAATAAAACTGTATAGTGAGCAGGGTTTTTTTTTATTAGATTGATGGAGCTGCGTGTAAAACACCAAGACGTACATGCCTGTCTCATAGTTTCAGGCTATTTTTTTCTGCATAGCATGCAAGAGTATCAGAAATGATACATCTGTGAAGTATGTGGTGCTGGATTCTCAAAAGAGCTCAGCTTGCACTTTAGATACCTGGAAAAAAAAAAAAAAAAAAAGCTGAATTTTCAAAAAGTGCCAGCAAAGCAGCACTCAGCAGGGGGAAGATGGATGTTGGCTCTTTTAAAAATCAGGTCGTATACTGGGTTGATTTGGGTTCTTTTTTTTTGATCTTTGGTGTGAACTTCCAACTGTGCTGTGTACATAAAATAAATTGCATGTAACAATAGCATTACTACATTTTCCGTCATTATTAACATGGGTTGCTGAACTAGTTTCACAATTCAGTGGAGGCAGAAATGAAAGCATGTCCCCCTGAGAAGGTAGACACCTTTTGCAGATGCTGCAGACTTTTCTCTGCCAGGTAAGGAGTGTTGTTGATGTGTCTTATTGACCTCCTTTGCTCCGTGGCCCTTACGCTGTGATTTCCCCTATGCATCGGTGAGATGCATTACTGAAAAAGGGTATGATAATGAAATGAAGTGTTTAGCCTGGAGCAGAAAATCTGGTATTTTCCAAATCAAAAAGCTGAAAGCGTGACAGTCCTCGGGGAACAACAGATCTAGCTTCTGGCTTCAACCAGCTTACGTGTTAACATATCAGCCTTTACTCAGGATTGCTTTTTGCTCAAAGCAGTGTTCATCTATGTAATTTTTGGATGTGGATGGTTGGTTCTATTTGCACAGGAGTCTCTGTCCAGAACGTGAAGCTGCTGAGAGAGGTGCACCTCCATGGGCAGCTCACATGTTATGTGGAAGCTTTTTGGTGGTCATTGTGCGTGTTCACTTGCAGTCCAGCATGCAGCCATGCTGTGAGCTGTAAACCGGGTTTGCAAAAAGTCTCAGGTGGTGGCTGGGCTCCCACGTGCTGCTGGCAATGCCTAGGCCTTGCATGTGCCAGCCCCACCCTTGTGGTTTCCAAAAAACACCTACGTGTTTGTGGAGATCACATCCCCCTGGCTTTTGATGGAGAGCTTTCACCTAAAAGACTTGCACACAGGGAGTCAGCAGCTCTGGGATTCACATATGTATTGGCAAGACCATAGAGCCCTACTTTGAAAGCATCTTTTATTCAATCCAGCGTGGAGGTAGAAAGTGAGGGGCTGATATTTCTCTAGTGGAAGTCTTCAGATAAAACACCATGTCTCCTCTTAAGTTGAACTACTTCTCTTAAAAGCCTCTCTGTCTTGCCTTGGAAATACAGATGCACCTGTCTTGATGTTTCTTTGGAGCTTTTATTCCTACAATTTCTTTGTTAACACCTTTCCCCCTAGAAGGAACTTCCTACAGTTATGCTCTGCCATAATCCGTGGCCTTACCTGGCTTTAAATGCGTCATTGAGTCTGATCACCCAAGGTCCTGCTGTACTATCTCCTAGGGGACAGCTTGTCGCACTCCTCTCTTTGGATGGGATAAACGGTCCCCTGGAGGTGCCTCTTTCACGTCGTCAACATGAACCTTGGTGATTACCTTCATCTATACACCTGAATTTTAGGGAGCTGAGCTTCTGAGAAAACAATCTTTCCTGCTAATCCTGCATTTCACATAAACTACCTTATTTTACAGCTCTCCTGTAATGGCAGCCTAGTAGACAGACTCCACACAAATGCCTTTGGCTGGTAGAACTCACCCCCCAGAAAAAAATATCAAACATGGGTTTACGGGAAGATTTGCATAGGCCCAGAGGGGAGCTGCATTGCCAATTTCTGATTATTTCAGGAGTCATTGGAGTGGTGGCCATGCTCGAGGCTTTTACTGTTCAGCATTCTGTAGGAGCTGGCTCTAGGATTGCGGTTTGTGTATTTTTAGCTTTGCCTAGCACAAAGAGGAAGGAAGCGTGGATTGACCTCGCTCTTCACTGCTCGTATCTAAGATCAAATACCAGCTTCTCCCAGGAGAAGAGGAAACTGCAACACAGGCTTTCTTACATGGCATTTCTCTTGGAAATTGGACTTTTCATGCCTAGCAGAGTCCTTAGCCAAAGTTGATGCTGACACTTTGCTGTCTGGCTTTTCTCCTTGGCCAGTGGGGTGATCTCAGTCAAATCATGTCACCTCTCCAAGATGCTGTCAGTCATTTAAAAAAAAAAAAAAAAAGAGTAAAATTAAAACTTGCCCACTAAACTTGACTTTGGGAGCTGCCATTGGTCAGAGGTAGGCACTGGAAGCAGCATCGGCGCGCGTGGTGTGTGCGGCGGCGTGTGCCTGAGCAGTCCCTGGAACCAACGTGTGCTTTCTCCCACAGGGATTTGAGGCGGCTGGGAGTGACACTTGTTGGTCACCAGAAGAAGATAATGAACAGCCTTCAAGAGATGAAGGTCCAGTTGGTGAATGGGATGGTGCCGTTGTAACTGTTTTAAAGTCACTTCCTCAAGTGGGTCGGTCCTGCACTTTGTACACTAGCCCTGAGATTTATTTTGACTAAAAAAAGAAAAGAAAATATAAAAAGGGAAATTCAGTGGTTTCTATAACTGAAGGACATTGGCCTCTGGCGCAGTGTTTCTAAAGCAGTGTTTGACTATAAAGTTTTCCTTTTCTTCCTATTTGTGTCCTCATTTTCATGAAGTAAATGTAAGATGCATGGAACGTGGAAACGAATCTGCTGTACGTGAGGTTAACCCGTCTCTTAAGCTTCAGCGACAACAACAACAACAAGCCTTCCCACCACAAGTTGTCTGTATGTGGGAGGTATCTATATATATAGACATATATATAGCACCTTTATATACTGAATTACAGCAGCACATGGCAATGCTTCCAAGGACTGACTTGAGCGGAGGAGTTTTGTAGCTGTTCATGGGCTCCCAAAAGCTGCGGTTTACTGAAGTTTAACTTCGAGTCTTACTTGTCTACAGAAGTGTATTGAAGAGCAATATGATTAGATTATTTCTTGATAGATATTTTGTTTTGTAAATTTAAAAGAAGAAAAAATGCTGTTACACAGCATTAAATTATAGAGACTAGTGTATAAACATGTTGCTTGCTCCATGGCAAATACAATACAGGGTGTATATTTTTTTTTTATTTCCTCCCTCTGTGTTACCAAGTTCTTTTTGTTTGCTCTTCTGGGAGGATAATACATGATGAAGATGTATATACTGTACAGTTTGCTACGCATCAGGTACAAGATTTGAGCTCTTTCCTTGGTTTGTTCTTTTTTTTTTTTTGTCCTCTTTTGTGTTGTCTCCCTTTCGTGTTTCCATTATGCTTTGTATTTTTGCTGCTGTTTGGTTTGAGCAACATATAAAGCCTTCAGGAGTTTTGATTACATGTATGAGGTAGCAGGAGTCTGCTTAAATAAAAGCATTATCCTTTCCACCCTGGGCTGGGGACATCCAGAAGAAGAAAAGTAAGAACACCTGATTCCCAGTGGCCTGCAGTGAAAATGTGGCATCAGTTTTCATGTGTATGAGTCCTGCTCAAAGATGGCACAGGATTGCCTCCACACTGACATTTCCAGCCCAGTAGCTATCCGCCAGTGCAGCTCTTGCCCATGTCCCCGGAGCCCAGGAGAGAAACCACAAGGTGGCTTTAGGCAGAAGGAAGGGGGTTTGCTGTTCCCTGTCTCATTACAGGGGTTAAGTCCTGAGGCGCAGTGTGGATGCAAGCCTGTGGTCGTTCAGCATGGAGATTTTGCAGTATTTCCCCCAAAGTGGTGGTAGTATTTCTTTGGGAAATGTGCTGTCCCAGGTTGTCTCTCTGGGCATTTTTGGTTTGGGTATGGACCTGGCCACTTGGGGGCACAGCACAGAGAGGAGGGAAGAGTAAAGCAGCTCATCATGGTCACAGAAGTGGCATCCAGTGGTCAAGAAGGTCCCGTCCTTCTTGGATGGCACAGCTCAGGACAGCACTTGGTTGTAGGTGGGGTTCAATGTGTCCATTAAAGCTCACAGCTGCTGTTTTCAGAGGGACCTGAGGGCCACCTGATCCCCTGGGAATCCCACCTAGAAACAGTGTGGGGCTATCCTCCTCCTTTTGTTGTAGGTAGGATTAATCAATTAATTTGGTATTCATAGGTTGGAATTTTTCTTTGTGAAGGCTTTGGTAGAGATAAAGATTTAGAACTGCCTCAGAGGATGGCAAGTGTTTGCTGTTTCTGTAGATATGTTGCTTCCTTAGAGGTTGAGTAGCATCTCGCAGCATCCTTTCTTGGTGATAACATCAACATATTGACTTGCCACAGCTCCCTTCATCTCCAGCACTTCATAGCCAAGCCCTAGGAGCTCATCCAGAGCCAAAAGTGTGTCCTTCACATCTTGCAGAAGCAGAGGTTGAATGCCACATTTAGCTGTTTCAAAGGTCTTCGTTTTCCCCCAGGCCTTTGGATGACATTTGATACAATGAATGGTTTCTGAAGAAAAGGGAAAGGGCTACAAGGAGAGGGTTGAGTGGTTTCTTAGCAGCAGAGCTTTCTTGCTTTCAGCAGGGCTTCTACAGGCAATATTTGCCTGTTCTGAAATGTCTGATTCCTCCTCTATGAGCTGCTACCACGTTCCTTGGGTATCAGGAGAAGTAGGAGGGAGAAGAGATCTGGTTGAGGTCTGACAAATCTTGATGTTGTGATTTCTCATTCTGTTGTTTCATTTTGGCAGTCACCAGACCACAAAAGGTTGGAGTGAGGGGGAATCAAGACGTAGCAATTTTGGTGCATAAAAGAGAGTTGTCATACAATAAATAAGATTATTAGAGCTGTCAGCAGAACAGTTGTGGGATGATTTGTGCCTCCCTGCCTGCAAAACTTGGGAAAATAACCTGTAGGAGCACAGAACCTTCGTTTCATCAGGAGGAGCTGTTTGGTTCCCACATCTATCGGCTGCACCGAGATGCTGTTTGCAAATACAGAGCACTTTCATCATCTCTGCTTGCTCTTTACCTGTTGGCTGTGCAGGAGGAGTTTGGTTTGGTCTTTTTTTCATGGACTTTTAACAGCAAAAAAAACCCTTTTCACTGTTTGTGGGGTTTTAAAGGCCTATACGGTCTGGCTGGGATGCATACCAGATGCTGGAGTAACCTCCAAAATTATGAACTAGTGGAAAACAAACTGTTCTTAAGCCAGACTGCATTGTATATAGGGCACCTCTGCTTGGTTCCTCCAATAAATAAATAAATAACCTTTTCTATTTATTTCAAGAGCTGTTCTTGCTGCAGATCTCTATAATAGGCTTTGTCTCAGAACCAAAAATAAAATAAAATGGTGTTATTAATGAGTAGGGCCCAAAAGTTACAGCTTCTGTGTCCACAACCAAATTCCAGAGACAATGGAGGTTTTTGGTTCCCATCTGAGAACTGCAAGTACTCTGTGTTTAGATCATATATGTCGGGGTGCAGCAGAAGGAGAAGACACTAACAGAGCACTGATTATGCTCTGTGTAAGGGCTGTAGGTGGATTCCCTGACTATGGTAAGTGCGAGTGCCTTGCTTTTCCAGCCCACTAGTGCTGCAGCTGGTCAATGAATACTGTTTTTCCAGGTATATTTTCTCCTTATTGTCCTCATTTTGGGAGAAGGAAACATCCCAGGCATAGCTTGTGTAACCTGATCCTCTTTCATGTGTAGCTACCAGTTTGGAAGAATTACCTAAGCACAAAAAAGGAAGACTGATTTAAAAGAAAAAAACCCCAACAGTTTAAAATGTTATTTATTCCTTCTATAGGTTAATGGCAAGAACAAAAAATGAAGGTAATTTTATGTTTTGCCTATTCAGTGTTGAATATAATGTAGAAAGTCCCAGTGGTTGAGCAATTGTGATTCCTTGGGCTGCTGTGGTCTTGAAGTGAGTTGTTACAGCTAATACACAGCAGTAGCAGTGTTAAGAGTAATGCTTAGTTCCCAGTCCTTTATTGTCATTGCTTAGGGCAGGTGGGGTGGGAGCTGGTGCATCCAGCACTGCCAGAGCCACAGCATCCATCTCAGCTCCTCGCATCAGGGGGTGTGAACTCATAGGAGACTGTAGCATTGCTGTATTTATTCCTCCCCTTCTCCCCCACCTCCTTGGATGCTCTCTCTGCATTTTGTTTGTGTACACGTTTTTGTTTTTGTTTTTTTTTTTGTAGTGTAAGATACTAAATTTTCTATTTTTTCATAAAAATAAAAACCTTTGACTAACAGCGACATCCATTTGTGGATCACACACACACGTACCCCCTTGGCTTTCCATGAAGCATCAGGATCTTCCCTTTGGAAAAGAAATAAATTCTATTTTTTCTCTCCTGAACACAGGCTGGGTGCTAATCTTGTAGTCCCTGGAGGAGAGGTGCCTCTGAGACAAGGGAGACGCGGACCCCACGTGAAGGCATCCTACCTTGTTGCATGCCGTTCCCTCTTTCCTCTGTTTCTATTTGGAGGGAGGGAAATCTTGCTTTTTCAGTCTGGTTTGGGGGCCAGAGCACCTG